GTACATAGTACGGCGACGAAAAGAGGATTTTCTTACAAATACTTATGTCAGATGTCCGTTTTAGCACTTCATATGTATAAGGCATAGGGTAGCCAAGTGGTTAAGCGTTCGCTTGTCAAGCCGAATTAACCCGGGTTCGATTCCCAACATTGCTACAATGTATGAAGCCCATTTCTCGTGTCCACCGCCGTGATATTTACTCACTCACAGACATGTATAAAAATTACATTACATTATCAGCGTTTTTCTGCAATTTGCTTTTTGAGAGTATATGCCCATAAGGCCAGGAGGTGGGCGATCGTCACGAGGCGATTGTTGTTGCGTATCATCCGGGTACTCACGGGGAAAAAACAATAACAAAGGCAACAACCAGTCCGGGGAATTGCGTTAGATCAGTGCCCCTTTAAGTCTAGTTAATAGACAAAAATGATGTTTGAACGACTGTTCACAATATTACTCAACACCAGTGTCAGAGTCAGGCTCGCATGGTTGATGCATGTCATCGTATCCCAGTTGCCTGGGTCGATGATCATGATGTCGATCACTGGATTGTCTGGTCGAGACTCCATTATTTATAAACCCCCGTCATGTAGTTGGAAGATTACGGAGTGCGGCGTTAAACATCAGAGAAATAAATGTTAGAGCAAAAAACAACAACATCTTTTTATAGTCTTTGGGGGATTCTTGACTTTCTTTTAATTGTTTATTTTTCCATGCTTCAGTGTCGAGGTTTCACATCATTTCTCTCATATTAGCAAATTTTAAAAGCTTTAAAAAAGGGAAATATACTCACAAAATGTTTAAAATATGTAACTGGTGTACCCTCAATGATTGTCAGACTTGCACGGTGGGGTTGGTCATGCATCTAGTTCCGATGACGTGACGCTGAGGATGCTTAACCTGTGGGTGGTGTCATTTCTCCTGCGTTGTGTTTTCGCTGCAGCTTCAGTGGAGGCATAGACAGACAGAGGGCGGATCTTGGGCCTCTTGTCCCGTGATGAGGTCGTGCAGCACAGCAAACAATTCAGCTGAAATAAACAGTAAGATCGTGAATATCTTTACAAATTTTGTTAAATTAAATAATTGGCTATTTCTTAGAGAGTAGTGTCTCTGTCGTATCACTACTTAATTCACATACCAGCATTTAAAGGAATAATAAAATATATTTCACATTATGTACCCATCCCACGTTCAGTGTCGGACGCGTTCATTATTTGACTAAGGGATTTTCTAATTCGCACAGATTAGGATAGTGAGTGAGTTTAGCGCCGCTTCAATACTTCATTAATAGACCCGTAAATAGCGACTATGCTTGTCGTAAGAGGTGACTAAGAGGATCGGGTGGTCAGGCTCGCTGACTTGGTTGATGCATGTCACCGTATCCTAATTCCGTGGGACCCGTGAAGATTCGGGGTAGAATAGGTCGTCAGCAACCCATGCTTGCAGTAAAAGATGACTATGCTTGTCGTAAAAGGCGTCTAACCGGATCGGGTTGTCAGGCTCGCTGACTTGGTTGATGCATGTCATCGATCCCAATTGCGTGGATCGATGCTCATGATATTAATCACTAGATTGTCTGGTCCAGACTCGATTATTTACAGACCGCCGTCATATAGCTGGAATATTGCTGAGTGCGGCGTTAAACAACAAACCAACCAACCAACCAACTAATTGCGTGGATCGATGCTCGTGATATCAATCACTGGATTGTCTGGTCCAGACTCGATTATTTACGGACCGCAGTCATATAGCTGCAATATTGCTAAGTGCGGCGTTAAACAACAAAGAAACAAACTTCATAAATATCACGGCGTCAGCTAAATGTGGCAGGAAAGCTGGAAGTGAAACATACCTTGGATGTTTACTCATATGGTGAAACCGGAATGAAACTCACAAGCCAAGAATCATAACCAGGGTAGATGCGAACCTATGGTCCTAGAATTGTTGGAGGCCTGAGAAATGTAACGCTGCACATCCAATTACGGCACATTAGACGATTGGGCCACCCGTGCCCACATTCCCACGTAAGTCAATGTGGACCCTTTTGTAAATAGTGCATATAAAAAGGGAATATAAATATAATGTTATTTGTTTTATTATTTTTTAGTAAATATTTGCTCTCATCGAAATACACGTTCTCGACAACTCCAGGGCGACAAATGGTATAATTCATGTTTTTCATAAGAGGCGACCAGCGTAAGTTTGTTTGTTTGTTTGTTTTTTAAAGATGCAATACCACAGGCAATGTGTCGGCGGCCTGTCTGAACCTGACAATCCAGTGATTAATATTGTGAGCACCGACCCACGTTGTCGGGGTACCTTGACACACAATCAACAAAGTCGCCGAGCCTGACCACCCGATCCGATTAGTCGCCGATTAGTCATGGGTTGTTCAAACCTAGAATCCCTGCTAGTGAGTGAATGAGATGGGTTTAACGCCGCTTTTAACAGTATTACAGTTATATCGCGGCGTGTCAGCTTAATGTAGGAGAAAAGCCCGAAGTGATGCAGGTCTCAGACGTTTAACACTTCGGTGAAACCCGCGAGCACGGGTATTGTGCTGACAAACCTAGAAACATAATCGGCCCGAACTGGGATTGCAACCCACAATCATAGGTTTCTGGCGTGTCCAAGGGACGCAACTCTGTATACGAAACGCGGCGCCTGAGACGACTAGGGCCACACGTGCCCCCGAATCCCCGCCAGAGGACCAGAATATGGATAGGGTGGCCACAACGACCCACTCACGTCAAACCAAACTTACTAACTCATTGTGCTGAATTTAAATTCTGAATATTTCTTGTCTTTGAAAGGTATTTAGAAGTGATACACATATGAAAGAAAATTTATGGATGTCAACTTCTTTATTATGAGGAGTTATATAAAAAAAGAAAGTCCTTGAAATGCCTGCCATATTACAGAATTGGTATATGCTAGTGTCTTGCTCCCTACCTTCTCGAAGAAGCCCATTATCCAGTCAGTTATTTCATTGCATCCAATGTAGATGTATAAATGTAGACAATCAAGACGAGAGTAAACAAGACCTAACACTCCCGTTTCCAACCGAGTTACAAATATTTATATAGCTCATTCACAACGTGTGTATCAACGGGTTGGATATAGTTGCTGCCATTCGTAAGTTATCTGCTGCTGTAGATCTGTGATCGTTACCCGACACCCAGAGTAACCCCTGGTGTGTTAAGAAATAGGCAATGGTATATTGTTTGTGGTTCATCTTTCGGTAAACGTGTAGGTAGGTCCAAATGTAGCGTGGTGATCGCATGCTTGATAACATCATGTCGAAATCCACACGAATAGTTTGTTAAAAGACACACACTAACCATGTCAGTTCATAGCAGTATCGATGCGGGGTAAATCTAGTAATAATTCTAGAGCTGTCTTGTTTTGGCAGTGTAAGAATTCATTGATGGAATATAAAGAGTGAGTGAGTTAAAATTTAACGTCGCATCGGCATTATTTCAGCCATATAGCGACGAGACCAAGTTAATATAAACACGAGTGAGTCACGAATGCAAAGTTATATTTAAAGTGAGTTAATGCTTAACGTCACATTGGCAATATTTCAGGCATGTCGTGACGAGAAGTTATACATTATTAATACATATATTTAGACTAAATAAAAACTTGTCATCGATGGACAGTAAATTAACTAGAATACCACAGCTTAATATTTAAAATTAGCAGACAACCAAAAAATGATACCACTATATGTAACAACACAATATAAAAAGGGCTATAGATCGCCACCCACTGAAGGTACTCACCATACTAGGGGCCATGGGGACTTACAGTACCTCTGCATGGACCCCAACAGAAGTGTCACCATCCCTTCAGTGGCTGGGGATTGTACGCAATTTATCAGTTAAAATAAACAAATATACTCGATGAAAAACTGTGGTTTGAATAAACGTACTTTGAGGATGTGGTCTCACATATCCTCTTAAGGGGAAAATAAAAATTACGCTACTTCAACCCCCTTAGAGGATACAGCCACTAACCATCTAAGTTACAGATTAAACACTACCAATATTATAATAATAAATACATATCTACACAATTTAAAATGTATCAGTAAGTTCTATTTCTTTTTAAAATCCTATAATTAAATGAGAACTAATACTATTTAAAAGACCCTTAAGCGATGATGATTTGAACTATTTATCCCTTGTAACGGCAAAATCAATACAGTCAAACATGACATGCTTGATCCCGATTCTCTCATCACCAGGGATACGAAAGGGAGGATCCCCACCTTTCAGTCAATATTCATGTGTATACCTGAATATAAAGAAAACACTATTATGCTTATCTTACATTTTCTATTTGCTATTTGTGTCAAATTCATACCACAGACTTGTTAACGGTTTTGTTTCACGGGCCTCTTACTTTCACCAGTGAGTCTGTGTCAGTGTTATCAAGCCCGTGTGACCAGGATTATGAGATTGATTAAAAAAATGTTGGTTTGAGCACTTCAAGAAAGTGTTTAATAATTGTGATGAAATTAGAGGGAATAGCGATACTACCGACCATATAGAGTCTTCTTTAGATTTTAATGATACATATTCTGGAGTCGACACATCACGGATCAAGAGTTTCAGGCAGCAATTAACCATTTGGATAATGTTTGTACGCATCTGGTTTAAGCAGGAAAGAGCCCTTAAAGCCATCTACACCTCGGCGAAAGCGTCTGCCAGATGCAGCGACGATGTGTGTCGTGAATGTTTTGACTGTCCTATTAGGTTCAAGCAAGGCTGTATATTGTGAATATATGTACCATTGTAATATGTATGTAAGCATTTCATCTGTTTATGAGTCAGTGGCCTTCAAGACTTGACTTAACTCCCTGCTATTATGTTTCAGATCTGAGACATGATTGACTTTTACATTTTCATGATTTTAAACCCTTAGAGGACCTCTTTTCGATCGATGCCCGATCATCCATACAGTGGTTTGTCTGGATGAGTGGATATCCGTAGGATGGACTCAACGCCGCCTAGCGGCAAGTGCCCGTTACCTCCAGCAACTTCCGACTCGAAGGAGCAAGCCGGTAGAGATGGACTTGTTGAGCATTTTTTATTTTCTTTTGGTGGCTGCCTTGATTATTTTGTCTCTGGTAAGTCAAGAAGCCGCATACTAAGTGGAGTGGAGTTTTGCCATAAATGACACTGTTATTCGTTGATTCGGAGAGCCCTAAAGGGAATAATTTTCTAAAGGGTTGACGACCAGTATTGTTGCATCAGTTTGACTCCCATGTATTAGAGTGTTAAGCTGTGCAAACACCTCCCCGCTGGGAAGTATTGCCTTATGGATGTGGTTACAAAAGTGCCACTTTCCGTAAAAGTGCTGACGTGGAGCCATCATAAATAAACCAGAATACACAAAAGTTATCAGTTATCCAACTGGTAACTAGCAACACTAACACTATTTTAAACATTTTTTGTTATTGATTGAAATAAGCTGATGTAAACTTTAGCTACAGAGAAGCACCATGTAAAAAAAATGATATAAATTATTTTCACATGATTTTATCATTTTTGTTCCTTGTCTGAAATAGATCTGATATCATTCCTATTGTTTACAGTGTCTAGTGATAATATATGTCACCTCTGTGGCATATCCTGACTTGGGAAGGTATGAGAGTGAGAAATTTTTCCATGACCCCAAAAGGAAGGCAGAGAGTGAATTTCCAAGCATTCATGATCCACCCAGCGTTGACCTGACAGTTGTGGTACCAGCTTACAATGAAGAGGAGAGATGTAAGAGAGTTCAAATTATTGATTATAAATTCTGTACATGATTGTATAATTATACCCTGACATACCTCAACTGATAATGTGATAGATCTTAATTGTCCATAATCAGTTGTGGATTTTGGTGAGAGAAAATATGATGCATCAAAATATCCAGTCATTCAATCTATACATCTATCTATCAGGGCTCAATTTAGCTATAAAACATGCACCAGTGCAACCTATTGTTGAAAAGTGCAAACTAATATTTATTTCTACATGCACCAGTGAAACCTATTGTTGAAAAGTGCAAACTAATATTTATTTCTACATGCACCAAGTGCATGTTAATAAAATTCAAATTTGTGTCAGACTAACCCCTACTTTGAACACAGTGTATACCTCTAAGCTTATGTACCATGCTACATCACTAATCCCTGGGTTATTTGTAATTTGTCATCCATTTTGGGGCCTGACATCATGAAACTGTGGGTACTGCAAGATTATGTGCACATCCTATTATGTTTACAGCAATACAGTCATCAGAGATAATGACAGAGATGTACATATTCAGTTTATTCATGTATGGTTCATCTTTGATAAATTTATTTGACAGGAGTGCAACCTTATTTCGTCTGGTGCAACTAGGTGTTCATGGCAAAATGCACCTGGCGCAAGTTAAATGAAGTCCCTTAAATTGAGCCCTGAATTTATGTACATACATGTCACTACCATGATTGCACTTGAATACACTCATTAGTAATATACAAGTTGCAATACAGTTTCACTTTATAAGTTCAATCAACATGAGTTTGAAAATATTCAATCATCATTCATCACTAAGGCAAGAACATTGATGTGAAATATCTGGAAAGTTAACAAATCTATATATTACCAGCTGATAACTGAGTGTGGTTGTTAACAAGGTTTTCTTTCTGTTTGAAAAACCAATTGACCAATGATTGATGATAAAATGTAATATTAAAAATGAACTCTTATCAATTTATCATTTCTATTATGTATTTTGTATCAGAATTTACGAAATGTCAATATTAAGTTTAAATAACAACAAGAGTCAACAATCTACCAATAATGTGCGTGATAGCTAGACTATATTGGGAATAAATCAATTGCTTTAGCACATATATCCACCATGTGAACTGCTGTCTTGACAGGGTTTAACATGCTAAAGAAAATAATGAAATTAAGATACTTATCCTGTGGTTTGTGTCTGCAGTATCCAGTATGATGGATGAGGCCTTAGAGTACCTCGAGGACAGACAGGTGAGTGTGAGGTTAGACTCATGCATTTCAAGGATTTGCAGAACTAACATGTTGACAAATTGTACATGATAATATGACGATGATAGGATCTCTCACTTTGTGATCATGACTCATGTTACCATAGCTACAACATGTATAATATAGACACTTCTAATTTTCTGATTTATAATTGGAAAGATGTCTTATGATAAATCATACTTCCTGGAATATAATATTTGAAATTGTTATTCTTATAATGCTTATGATGGTATAAATATGAATAAATATGATAACAGTCTGCATTAATATATGTCTGAATGAATATTAACAGAATTGTAAAACAAATAGTATATGCTTTTACCATGAAAATGAAGAATTTGTGTCTTCATTTCAATAAGCAATAAGAATAAACATAAGTACACGTTTCTGTAAGCTGTCTCCTCCCCCCTCCCCCCTCCCCCGAGTTTGTAACAATGTTTTGTACCTCAGTTTTGATACCGAAAGTTGAGAAGTACAAAACATGACCATTTTTCTTTTCATTTGCAGCAAAGCAACCAATCATTCAGTTTTGAAATAATTGTTGTTGATGATGGCAGCAAAGATAAAACATCCGAGGTATGTAAACGTGATGTGATGTACATGGTGTATCATGTATAGGTTTGCGAGTGAGTTCGTTTTGCCTGGTGTGGCACAACAAACTCAGATTTGAATCCCAACGTTGTGGCAATGCATAAAGCTCAGTCTGTGTTCCTCACTTTGATTTAACAATAGTACCAGAATTCCAGATCAGCTCATTTTGTTGATATTGACTAACATTCAAAATATCCTATATACACATGTTGTTTTTAAAATGTGGTCACGATATAGAGGACTGTTTAGTCAAATGATAAAATTATGAAAACTGAGCATGCAGTAAGATTGGAGCCACAGAATACAAAAAAAATATTTGTCTCTCAATTCCTTCTGGTATATTATTGTGTAGTATTGTAAGCTATAATTAATGTGAAACTTGATTTGTTTTCCTTCTGTTTCAGGTAGCTTTAACCTATTCTGAAAAGTATGGTGTAGACAAAGTGCGAGTTCTAACGTTAGCGAAGAATAGAGGAAAAGGAGGAGCCATTAGATTGGTACATACTTAAGTCTGTATGTTGGGCAACCAGGGACTTATTATGGTTGATTGATAAGTTCCGATACTCACATAGAAAGAAAACCTTAATGCTGAAATCTTTTGAGCAAATTGTTTCTCATGTCTGTAAAATTATCTGTTTCCTTTGGAAAATGGACAGTGTTGAGGAATGTTGTCAAGTTTTCCATTTTCCAAAGGTCACAGGCCCCTACTTATATTACTGATTACATGTATGACTAAAAATAATTATTTTATTTTATTTCAGGGTATATTTGTTGGTCGAGGCAAACTGATGTTGTTTGCTGATGCTGATGGTGCAAGTAAATTCAGTGACTATAAAAAAATGGAAGTGGAATTGAAAAAAATAAATGGTCAGGTACGTCGAGATTTGTAAAGAGAGATTCTGCAGTCCCACAGAAAGCATATTCCCCTGTGTTAGACCATAACCTACTCTCTTCATGAACACACAATGCCATTTGGAAAGTGATCAAATGTAACCAATGTTATATTTGGGATAACACTTTCTTAGTGAAGAAAAGATTCTAGTACTTTTGGGGTTGAGTCCCATCCATTTTACACTTGTCAGAGGTGTACACAAAGTATATGATCTAGAGACTACCAGTTGTCAAACTTTCATTTTGTGGAAGCCTCGGTGGCTGAGTGGGTAAGATAGCTGACTTTGTGTGCTGGTGATTAGGTGCCTCACTCTGACAGAATCTGTACTGAGAAAGTGCTATCCCAGATATAACATTTGTTACATTCTCTTCATGTCGCGTGAAGTGGTGGGGTAGTCGAGAGGTTAAAGCGTTCGCTCGTCACACTGAAGACACAGTTTTGATTCTCCACATGGGCACAATGTGTGAAGCCCATTATTGGTGTCCCCGCTGTGATTATGCTGGAACATTGTTAATATTTGACGTCAAACCATACTCCCTCCCTGTCCCCTGTACCCCCATGTTTGTTGTAACCATGGTAACTTTGAAATATGATCCCTTAATGCATCTTGATAATTAACAGCTTTATCTACAGACTTCAAAAGTAAAAGTTATTGAAGCTTGCAGATCATTTTGCAAGCTTAACAATTGTTTGTTATGTTTGTAGTTTTTGTATTGTATTTTACAGGACAATATGTGTGTTGTGTGTGGGTCCAGAGCTCATTTGGAAAAAGATTCTATAGCCGAGGTAAGTTTAATTGAAAATAGTGGAATCCTCAAACGTAGATGTTTGTTTAACCAGTGATTTGAGTTATTATATCCCTTCTAGACAGGATGATAGTTTACCATGTTTCTGGCCTTAAAGTTGGGTCCAAAATGATGTGGCAATGCAAATTTTTCCTCCCTCCACCCTTAGGGTATATGCTGGATGTTTTCCTGCTACGATCCCATCCTTAGCGTACTCGTGGTCCAGTCTCACCGTGAGCAACGACCTCAAACAGAGCGTGGTGCATGCATTTCTCGGTTTATCCTTTGTTAGGTATACCCAGTGCCCTGTGTTCTATAGTTAGTACATACTGCACTCAGTCGCAACACAACATGAATGTACATCCAACGAATCCACGTCAGATGAGATGTATGTATGTTCAGTCCAAGTTCAATTTACCCTGGTTATATCAAAAGTACAGAGCCCCTTTTTACAAAGTTATTTCAGTGCTGCAACTGTCGTAAGTCTATGTTAAAGTATGGGAGTTACAATCATGTTAGTGCTATGACTGTCGTAAGTCTATGTTAAAGTTTGGGAGTTACAATCATGTTAGTGCTATGACTGTCGTAAGTCTATGTTAAAGTATGGGAGTTACAATCATGTTAGTGCTATGACTGTCGTAAGTCTATGTTAAAATATGGGAGTTACAATCATATTAGTGCTGCAACTGTCGTAAGTCTATGTTAAAGTATGGGAGTTACAATCATGTTAGTGCTATGACTGTCGTAAGTCTATGTTAAAGTATGGGAGTTACAATCATGTTAGTGCTATGACTGTCGTAAGTCTATGTTAAAGTATGGGAGTTACAATCATGTTAGTGCTATGACTGTCGTAAGTCTATGTTAAAATATGGGAGTTACAATCATATTAGTGCTGCAACTGTCGTAAGTCTATGTTAAAGTATGGGAGTTACAATCATGTTAGTGCTATGACTGTCGTAAGTCTATGTTAAAGTATGGGAGTTACAATCATGTTAGTGCTATGACTGTCGTAAGTCTATGTTAAAGTATGGGAGTTACAATCATGTTAGTGCTATGACTGTCGTAAGTCTATGTTAAAATATGGGAGTTACAATCATATTAGTGCTGCAACTGTCGTAAGTCTATGTTAAAGTATGGGAGTTACAATCATGTTAGTGCTATGACTGTCGTAAGTCTATGTTAAAGTATGGGAGTTACAATCATGTTAGTGCTATGACTGTCGTAAGTCTATGTTAAAGTTTGGGAGTTACAATCATGTTAGTGCTATGACTGTCGTAAGTCTATGTTAAAGTATGGGAGTTACAATCATGTTAGTGCTATGACTGTCGTAAGTCTTTGTTAAAGTATGGGAGTTACGATCATCTTCGTACTACGACTGTCGTAAATCTATGTTAAAGTATGGGAGTCACAATCATGTTAGTGCTATGACTGTCGTAAGTCTATGTTAAAGTATGGGAGTTACAATCATGTTGGTGCTATGACTGTCATAAGTCTTTGTTAAAGTATGGGAGTTACGATCATCTTCGTACTACGACTGTCGTAAATCTATGTTAAAGTATGGGAGTCACAATCATATTAGTGCTATGACTGTCGTAAGTCTATGTTAAAGTATGGGAGTTACAATCATGTTAGTGCTATGACTGTCGTAAGTCTATGTTAAAATATGGGAGTTACAATCATATTAGTGCTATGACTGTCGTAAGTCTATGTTAAAATATGGGAGTTACAATCATATAAGTGCTATGACTGTCGTAAGTCTATGTTAAAATATGGGAGTTACAATCATATTAGTGCTATGACTGTCGTAAGTCTATGTTAAAGTATGGGAGTTACAATCATGTTAGTGCTATGACTGTCGTAAGTCTATGTTAAAATATGGGAGTTACAATCATATTAGTGCTGCAACTGTCGTAAGTCTATGTTAAAGTATGGGAGTTACAATCATGTTAGTGCTATGACTGTCGTAAGTCTATGTTAAAGTATGGGAGTTACAATCATGTTAGTGCTATGACTGTCGTAAGTCTATGTTAAAATATGGGAGTTACAATCATATTAGTGCTATGACTGTCGTAAGTCTATGTTAAAGTATGGGAGTTACGATCATCTTCGTACTACGACTGTCGTAAGTCTATGTTAAAGTATGGGAGTTACAATCATATTAGTGCTATGACTGTCGTAAGTCTATGTTAAAATATGGGAGTTACAATCATATTAGTGCTATGACTGTCGTAAGTCTATGTTAAAATATGGGAGTTACAATCATATTAGTGCTATGACTGTCGTAAGTCTATGTTAAAGTATGGGAGTTACAATCATGTTAGTGCTATGACTGTCTTAAGTCTATGTTAAAGTATGGGAGTTATGATCATCTTCGTACTACGACTGTCGTAAGTCTATGTTAAAGTATGGGAGTTACAATCATGTTAGTGCTATGACTGTCGTAAGTCTATGTTAAAATATGGGAGTTACAATCATATTAGTGCTGCAACTGTCGTAAGTCTATGTTAAAGTATGGGAGTTACAATCATGTTAGTGCTATGACTGTCGTAAGTCTATGTTAAAGTATGGGAGTTACAATCATGTTAGTGCTATGACTGTCGTAAGTCTATGTTAAAGTTTGGGAGTTACAATCATGTTAGTGCTATGACTGTCGTAAGTCTATGTTAAAGTATGGGAGTTACAATCATGTTAGTGCTATGACTGTCGTAAGTCTTTGTTAAAGTATGGGAGTTACGATCATCTTCGTACTACGACTGTCGTAAATCTATGTTAAAGTATGGGAGTCACAATCATGTTAGTGCTATGACTGTCGTAAGTCTATGTTAAAGTATGGGAGTTACAATCATGTTGGTGCTATGACTGTCATAAGTCTTTGTTAAAGTATGGGAGTTACGATCATCTTCGTACTACGACTGTCGTAAATCTATGTTAAAGTATGGGAGTCACAATCATATTAGTGCTATGACTGTCGTAAGTCTATGTTAAAGTATGGGAGTTACAATCATGTTAGTGCTATGACTGTCGTAAGTCTATGTTAAAATATGGGAGTTACAATCATATTAGTGCTATGACTGTCGTAAGTCTATGTTAAAATATGGGAGTTACAATCATATAAGTGCTATGACTGTCGTAAGTCTATGTTAAAATATGGGAGTTACAATCATATTAGTGCTATGACTGTCGTAAGTCTATGTTAAAGTATGGGAGTTACAATCATGTTAGTGCTATGACTGTCGTAAGTCTATGTTAAAATATGGGAGTTACAATCATATTAGTGCTGCAACTGTCGTAAGTCTATGTTAAAGTATGGGAGTTACAATCATGTTAGTGCTATGACTGTCGTAAGTCTATGTTAAAGTATGGGAGTTACAATCATGTTAGTGCTATGACTGTCGTAAGTCTATGTTAAAATATGGGAGTTACAATCATATTAGTGCTATGACTGTCGTAAGTCTATGTTAAAGTATGGGAGTTACGATCATCTTCGTACTACGACTGTCGTAAGTCTATGTTAAAGTATGGGAGTTACAATCATATTAGTGCTATGACTGTCGTAAGTCTATGTTAAAATATGGGAGTTACAATCATATTAGTGCTATGACTGTCGTAAGTCTATGTTAAAATATGGGAGTTACAATCATATTAGTGCTATGACTGTCGTAAGTCTATGTTAAAGTATGGGAGTTACAATCATGTTAGTGCTATGACTGTCTTAAGTCTATGTTAAAGTATGGGAGTTATGATCATCTTCGTACTACGACTGTCGTAAGTCTATGTTAAAATATGGGAGTTAGCTCTACATATAAAGTACAGTATGTTTATCTTCTAGTTAAGCCCTGGGCTAAAGTATGTGCATTTCCTGTAATGCTTTAGCTGTTAACATGGTTACTGCTGAAACAAACATGGAAGAATTTTTGTGTTTGCAGCGTTCTGTATTCCGAACATTCCTGATGTATGGGTTTCACTTCCTGGTGTGGTTTCTGTGCGTGAGAGGAGTCAAGGACACGCAGTGTGGCTTCAAACTCATGACAAGGGAGGCCGCCATTTTGCTTTTCTCAAATTTGCATGTAGAAAGATGGTGAGTTGAGAACCTATGATTACATACTGTAAATCTCGAAAGTTTTATGAGCAGGAAAGTACTGCGAAAACACACACACAATAGTGACACACACTCACAACAGCTTCATGACGCAGTTATATTTGCGGTCCAACAAGAAACAAAAAGCGGAAGAAGGCATATTTCTTGGAGTCACTTCCACACATTGTCAACCAGCCTCAAATCCTGTTTCCCTAATTACACATTGTCACTCAGTGTCAGTAGCCTACTTGGGAAAGTTCTCTGACCTGCCACGTCTGGTCAAATTTCTTACATTACACTGAGAAGTCCAGACATACACCAGCCATAAACAAACTACTGAGCAAATGGTGTCCCATTTTATTCATGTTCAGGCTGGGTGATGGAGTAATGGCAGCCAAGCCTTCAACCATCCAGTCAGGAACTTGGTTCCTGCTTAGATGAGAGTCCATCTCAAGGGAATATTTGCCTTACTTGGGCTCAAAATAACCTTCAAACGAGTCCGAGTGGAATTCATATGATCTGCGCAGAGGAAAACTTCTCCTGGAGTGGCACCTAGATGGAAATAACTTGGAGCTATGCCCAGGTGATGCTGATACCTGAGAGGACAAAGCCTTGGACGAAGATGGGCCACTGATGAGTGCAGGTGGTGCAGGCGTAGTAAGCGCATCAGACGGACGAGATGTAGGCCTAAGTGCAGGTGCTACAGGTGGTGTAAACATCGGAGACCATGCTGGATCCATAAACCGTGCCCGGGGGCAGGGGTGGCCCAGTCGTCTTAGGCGCCGTGATTCGCTGTGCAGAGTTGCATCCCTTGGGCAAGCCAGAAACCTATGATTGTGGGTTCGAATCATGGTTCGCCCCGATTATGTTTCTAGGTTTGTCAGCACCATACCTGTGCTCGTGGGTTTCACCAAAGTGGTAAATGTCTGAGACCTGCATCACTTCGGGCTTTCCTCCCACATTAAGCTGACATGCTGCGATATAACTGGAACACTGTTAAAAGTGGCGTTAAACCCAACTCACTCACGATAAACTGTGCATGCAAGGGCTGAGGTGGTAGCTGCTGGAATGGCATCTGCACTGGTGGGAAGCCAAGTGGAGCGGTTGGCAGACCAAATCCTTGAGGCACAGCAGACATAAGCACTTGAGGAGGCGTTTAGAGGCTCAAGTGGAGGAACTGACGGTGAAGGATGTGCTTGGTCAAGTGCAAGCATCACAGAGGTCGTAGGCATCTGAGAAGCCATTGGCACCTGGGGCAGTAATTTTGAATCTAGAAAACATGGAGGTTTAATAAGGGTTAAAATTATGCAGTAGAAAAGTGAAAACCCTTAAATTGCCAAACAGGGAGCTTTAGGTAAGACAATATAAATGAATTACCAAGCTGTAAGAAAAGAACGAAGGACGTGAGAAATGAGAACGTGACCATGTGGCAAATCAAAATGGCTAATTGGAACAACAAAGAACATGATTTTACCGTGACTTGTAGCCATCATCATGTGCAAAATAATGTGACAGCAAACATATATGAAAATATGTGAAGACACATGCCATAGAAGTGATAGAATTCACAATACATGCTGAATAAAACAACAATCAAAAGGATGCCAGAAAAATCACTTTTTTATACAGGCCTTGCTAGTCTGGGTGACGAGCAGTAATGTGACATTGAACCCAACCATGGTCATGTGGGTGTTGTGTGATGGGGTTAGCCACACAACTAGTTGGAACAACTGCTTCTTCAGCTGGACCTCACACAGTTTGTCTTTCTGTAAAAATCAGCAGTAAATGCATTAAGGAGTAATGCAGGATAAGTATACAAATGTAAACCACATTTAAATTTTGCTTAGAATTGTACAATCAAAGTATATCACATCTTCTGTTTATCATGTTTAGTAAGTTTTGCTTGGAAATGTTTTTGTTTGTTTCAGGGCATTTGATGTAGATATGTTGTATCTTGCTCAGCACTTCAAGATGCCTTTAGGAGAGGTAGCCATTGCATGGCAGGAGATTGATGGTGAGTTACTGTCTAGCATGCAAGGCCACACGTTTGGGATTATTTATCCCTATACACAGGCCCGCCCCTTCTGAAAAGCAGACGGTCCAAGAAATAAATAAAAAGTGAAACTATTATTTGTATTATGTCTCCCGCTAGTAATATAGACCCTCAATAAAAAAATGGTACTATTTCTAATGAGATGTCCAGATTATCGAATCATCGCTATCAAGAAATGTCCTTTGTGTACTATTTAATGTTCAAAAACGTTCAGTATGAAACTGTCCAAGAAGTGGAGGGTTTGGAATAACAGGGTCCGTACTAACCAGGTTTCACTGCATTAAGACATTCATGTTTTGGGCCTCACTTTTTAATAGCCAGCTAGCAATATTTTATCATTGTCCTTGAAAGCCAAAATCTCTTTATAAAGAAATCCTGGCCCCCATAATTTGAGACGAAACTGGCTTCCTAAACTTGTTAGTTTTGATTTAAGACTTCAGTGGAACCCTGTTTATCCAGACACTCTTAGTCCAGAAACTCGCAGTATACGACTAACAGTATAGAATCATTTATAAATGATTTTTGTAAATCTAGCTAATTGCTCTGAGAATGCTTCAGTCCTGATTAACAGGTTTATTGAAGCGCCCTGAGCTTCCATGTAAATGGAATGGCACATTGTATATGGACTTATTGTTAAAACGGTTTCACTGTGCAACATGTCACTTCATCGGGATGTCACTGTATTTCACAATATTCATATAATTTTTTAAATATTTATTCTAATTTAATAATTTTCTGCCACATTTATAAAAATTACCATGGATAAATGTACAATGAGCATGATGAAGGCAGACCATTCAGTTCTAGACATGTCTATTTCATATTTAGCATTTATTGATTAATTTCAGGTCTATATGGGATTTTTTTATCTGAACACATAAAGAATAACTAATCTTATTATTAATCAAAATATCATTATACTTTTGAGTCAATATATAATGATAATAAACTTTCAAATTAATGAGGGGAGGGTCGGGTAGCCTAGTGGTTAAAGCGTTCACTCATCACGCCAAAGACCTGGGTTCGATTCCCGACATGGGTACAATGTGTAAAGCCCATTTCTGGTGTCCCCCGCCGTGATATTGCTGGAATATTGCTAAAAGCGGCATAAAACCATACTCACTCACCCCAATTCAAATTAATGACAACCTATATGAGTGAGTGAGTGAGTTAAAATTTAATGTTGCATCAGCATTATTTCAGCCATATAGCGACAAGAACAAGTTGATATATACACAAGTGAGTCATGAATACAAAGTTATATTTAAGAACAAATTTATCAAAACATATTTGGACACAGCAATAACAAACTATATGAGCATTGATGAGGAACATTAGGTGTTTATTTGTGTTTTCCAGGATCAAAAATGGTTCCAGTCTGGAGCTGGCTGCAGATGGGTCGCGACCTGCTTCTTATACGTCTTCGGTACATTCTAGGTGCTTGGAGGATCAACAGTAAACCCAAGTCAGAATAGAGTTATCTCCCTTGCCTGTTGCTTTCGTTGCATCTACTCTGCAGTGAATGTCGTGTGGGCAGCTACTACAGAACCAAAATTTAATTTTTATGACTTGTGTTCATGGAAAACATGCATTTTAATAACTATTTCTGTTAATGATTTTGCTTAAAATGTCAGATTCAATGGGTGGATTTTCAATAGAAATCCTGTTTTGGTTGGTCATCACATCTGTACATAACGTTATGTTCTTGCATTCTTTGTTGTTTTTGTTTTCTTATTTACTTCCTTGTTGTCCTTGTTAATATGACAAAGTCTTTGCACTATGTTACGAGCATCCTTCATTATAATCATAACATCTCTTCTCCATGAAACCCCTTTACTCCTGGATGGTAATTTCTGATGAAATAGTATTTTTTTAGAAAAGTGTTCTGTAGTTGGCCAAGTACGAAAGTTGGACCTGAGATACTTGATTTAGAATACCCTAACATTTTTAAAAGTGTATATAAGTACATAAGAGTTGTATTGTATACTACTAAAAAGTCAAGGACTACCCGATTATTTTATATTACTGTAGTTATTATATCTTCCCGAGGCAAGAGAGTTAACTGACTATAAAAGTCCAGTTTCCACCCTTGCCGAACTAGGCTGGTATTATGGAGTTACATTATGGCTGGGCTAACCAGTCTATGCATAGTCCAATCAAAATCACGCACCAAAATCGAAATCCGGTTCATAAACTGTCGTTCAGTTTTCGGTTAAATGCAGGATTTGCCAAGCATGTGCACTGCCAACTAGCTGTCAGCAGATATTTTCCAAAACTTTTCCTGTTTTTAATGAAGGTGCTCACGTGATTTGATGCATTTCGCAATGTGAGACCTGTTTTATCACAATATAGATCTTGATTATCGATCAGATCGTCCTGACTCAGCGCCACCATTTTGTGTAAAGCAAATGCAAGTGATACGAGAGGTGGAATCTGATTGGTCCATAGGAGAGGCATAGAAGGGACATAACTCATAATAGCCACTGGTGGCGCTATGATCGAACCCAGGAATTCCAGCCTAGTTCGGCAAGGGTGGAAACTGGACTTTTTAAGTCAGTTAACTCTCTTGCCTCGGGAAGATGTAGTTATTATGTCATTGCATGACCGATTACCTAAAGTATAATGAAAGATTCATGTGGTCCTTAACCTTTAATGAGAACACATGTATATTAAAGACTTTCCCATATTTAAAGTTGATATTACTGGATAACTGTATTATATAAACTGTATCCTCCGTATTTATGCAATTTTAAATATTGTAAGGTTATTTTTTAATTGGCATGCCAGTTCATTGCGAGAATGAATGACTGACTGTATGTAAGCCATATTGGCATGAAGAACATTTGTAGTATTTTTGCATCTGATAGTTTTCAGTGTTCATTAAACTGTGCTGCTGATTCTGCTTCACTGGGTTCATACTGATTGGTTGTGTTTATTGACATGTTGACTTAAATGAGAAATACCGGTATACATCAAACTCAATATCAAAACTCAATTTTTCCGACATTTCTTTTTTATATCACAGATGCAGTGGATGAAATTTACAAATACGAGTACTTTTTTTATATTCAACACATGGTATATATCCACATTGTTTGTGTAACATTGTATATCACACAATGTAAGTATGCACATTTCTTACATATTCCATCAAATTTGGAAATAACAAAGTCAAATTCAAAATATAACCGACATCAAATATAAATATATGAGGCAAAGAGAAAAACTCATTTTTATACTTGTGGATATAATCTTAGCTTTTATCACATGTGGCAATATATAAATTTCAAGAATTTCTTGTTTATTTACTAGTTGAATCTTTTTCTCCAATATTCAGCTAAATTTTTGAGCTGAGAAATTGCTAATAGAAATTATTATTATGTAACAATTTTTGAATTGACTTGGTTATATCTAAGATTGACTGTTTTCTCTGTTATTCACTTGTATCCATGGTAACATGAAACTGTCACAATCAAAGGTTACATCACAAATGTTGTTTTTTTCATCATTCAAGTATGTTGCTGTAAATGCTCAATTTGTACAGTGTTGAAAATATGAAATGTTATTCAATTTATTCCAGATATCTCGAACAATGGAAAATGTACAAAATATGTACTAAAGTCTTTAGAATATTGAAAAAATAACTTGAGAACTCTTCTGAAACCTTTGCACAGTACATGACAGACAGAGGCATTGTTTAATGGAGGTGAAATATAGATCGAAAACAAGAATACCATTAAAACTGTATAATGATTTATCATATAATGGGTAGGTTTCTCGGAAGGATAAAGCCAACGGATAAAAACGATATCCGTTGGGGTCATATGCGGATAGAGATGCAAATATCAAAGGTCAAGTATAAACTACTTTCACTGTTTATAAACAAACATGGCGTCGCCCTCATCATTCGGGGATCGAGTCAGAATTAACCATCGGGAATCTGGATAAACTACAGGGAAAATTGCTATCATTATCAAAAGAACAGTCTAATATACTGAAAATCAGTCTCTAACTGTGACGTAGCTAAGGCATTTTATAAGTTTGGGCAACTTTGGAGATATTAATTTCGAAACAATTTTGCGAGGGCACGAGGCCTAGCCAAGCGGGATCAGTAGCCATATCTGTGCTTGTAGACCTCTGCGGCTTGAAACCTGCTCCACAAATTAAAATAGTTGGATTTGTCCGAAATATGTTTGAATTGTTACCTTGTTTCGTTTTGTCGCTGTGTGTACATCTAACTGCACTTCTTAAGGTTATGACAGGACAGACCGACTGTCAACAACGACTGACCGTGGCCGTGACGTCTCATAGACTAGGGTTAGAGTAGCTTCCCTTTGACAAAGGGCAGTTACTCTAACGGACAGACAGATGGATTGCCGCGAAAGGCAATTAAAAACAATTGTTGTTTTGCGTATATGTTGCTTCGCCACTGTATAAGAAACAGATTTCAGTTGGAACTATATTGGCTACTGTCACTGTCCGACTGACACATCACTTACCCTGTGACGTAATAAATATTAATGCGCGCATTCCAGAAAAACTCGCAATGTTTCGGTTATGTATGTGAGAGAGGGAAAGCGATTTTGAAGCACAGAATTAAAGAATGACATTATATGATAAAGAGGTTATCACGCTTGTGTGTTTGGGGATGGTAAATATCCTGTATTAGGAATAAACACTATGTATTTAGCTCGCCAAGGCTCGCTAAATACAATGTTTATTCCTAATGCAGGATATTTACCATCCCCAAACACACTCGCGTGATAACCTCTATATAACAGACACTTTAGCCACAGAAGCCCTTTTTTTAAAACAGTCCTCTGTATATAATTTTCATACAGAGAATGGTTTTGACAGTAAACAGTCATACAATAGATACCACTCAAAAGTTAAGTACCACCCAATTCTTTCATATTATTATAGTTATTCTTTCATCGCATTACAGATTAACTACAGTAATTATGACATAATCATGGCATAACAGATTAACTGTAGTAATATGAAAGAATCAGGTGATCCTTAACTTCTTTTGTGTAGTATATTTTAATGAGTAATTCAGATTCTTGTGCAAGCAAGCACAAACTAGATTTCGGGCAACTGTATTGCCTCATGTGCTGTATTTGCCATAGATAGTGCTCCACTTGAGTATTTCCAAATTTGTGTGTTAAAATATCATCACTACTTGGGGTGGTTTGGTAGCCTGGTGGTCCTAACGTTTGGTCTTTACGATCTGGGTTTGATTCCTCACATGGAAAAGTGGCAAGTTGTCACAAAAATAAACCTATTTTTCTTGTACTTTTTCATTACGAAAAGTATTAAGCTAGTAGTTTCATAGCCAAAACAATACAAATATCACAAGTAACTAATATATTTTTTTCATTAAAACGGTTTACATTTTTCACATTTACCGAGAGTTCTATTTTGATGGGTTAAGGTAACTTTGATCTTGGGAATGTATCGGATACCATGTGTCGTCTCAGCATAAACTGGTACTTGATATCTTTTATGTTGAGACTAGACAGGGACCCTATCAAAGTGGCACCAATTACGTCAGAATCTAAGGGGGATAACTCAGGTCTGTTTAGCTCGGAAAACGAAGGCCTCATTACGGCATAACATTTTCACATATATTGTGAGCTTCCTACTTTCACTGTCAGAATAATGAGTGTATTTTTTCAAACACTGATATTAACTAATTCTTAAATTGAGGTTTGTTTCAAATAAGAAAGAAAGTGATTTTTGCGTGTACACTTTCCCTAAGGACATTCACCGTTTTGTGCATTAGCCATGATAGTCTGTGATTGTTTCTCACTCACTGTGTACATTTGTAGTGAAGAATCAGGGGCACTGAGGTCAAATACAGCACTGACATTTTGAAGAGTTCTCAAGGATATTTTGATAAATATATTTATGTTTAATTGAAGCTGCTGTTACTTATGCTGGGGTCATGTAGGGTGTTTTTAGTCTGCCTCTCGGTCCTTGAACGATACTATTTCCCTCCCGACCAGCCCTCACTGTAATGCTACAGCCCTTAACAAAGTCTAGGTATTCCACAGGCACTGATACTCCCGTCTCACTGGGGCACCTTTTAATACTGTAAATCTTGAAATTAACGCGAGCTTGAATTAAATGCGAAAAATGCAAGTGGTCTTTGCTCGCATTTTAAATTTCGCATTTATATCAACAATAAGACATTTTGGATAGCAAAAATACCAACTTAGACATACACTGATGTATTCCACACCACTGTTTATTGAGCAGCACTTGTAAATAAAGTATATAAACAATGTCATCTAAACACTAATTACGTCCTGTGAATTGTCACTGCTGGGGTCAAGACAAGAGTTCTTCTCACTTATGTCATCACACCTGCAAGTCCAGAGAGACACCACCCTTTGTTCTTTGCGACTGCGTCAAAGGCCGACACGAGCCAGCGCGCATGTATTGTTTTTGCGGAAGTACTTTACTCAGCGCTAATAAGCGGTGCTATTTGGTGTGTGATTAGATCAATGTATGGTTGGATTAAGGTGAGGATTATAAACCTGTCTGAGGACATCTTTTGATAGAAATCCACTGATGATTGAGAGGAGGGGGTGTTGCATTCATATTGAGTCGCATTTTTGGTTAGGGTCCAGTGGTCGCATTCTTTTGGAGACGCATTAATTTCACGATTTACTGTATGTAAGTATGTAGTTGCTTGTTTCTATCAAAATTATACATTTTCAGAGACTAGGCGTTAGTCTAAGGGTACCACAGAAATGTACCCCAGGAAATGTTTTGAATACAAAAATGTACCCAAGCATGAATCCAATAAAGAAATTTACCTCAGCTGGAATTTACCTTACCTAGCAATGGAGCTGCTTGATGGTGTTCTTATGTTCCAATATAATCCATTTAATATCAACATCACAGTCATCACATTTACAACAATCTTTTTGCAGCTTGATGCTTTACATTACAAGACTTTGGACTCGGTGTATAGGGTATTTTTCTGTGTTGCGATTTTGGTGAGGGTACATTTTTGTTTGCTTTGTTTGATGTTTAACCCAACACTCTGCAGTATTCTATCTATATTATGGCGGTCTGTAAATAATCGATTCTTGAGTGATTGACATCTTTAGTATCGATCTACGCAATTGGGATACGATTATATGCATCAACCAAGTTAGCGAGCCTAGCGTGATCCGTAACTCGCCTCTTACATATTTGTATGCTAGTAGGTACCCTGGGCAGTCATCTCAAGTACCCGGTATGACATTGACCCCTTCAGCCATACTAACTGCATATATTTACAGACTTCAGGTGCTTATGTGTGATTATTTTGTTGCAAGAATGAGTATTTATCGTGTTGGGATATGTTGGCATCGTCTGGATGGGGAAATGTGAGTACAGAAATAAACAATATTACTCTTTTGTCTTGTATTGTTCTGTATTTACTTGGCCCAGTCACCTAAGGCGCCGTATTTCGCTGTCTGAGTTGCATCCCTTGGTCACACCGGAAACCTATTATCATGGGTTCGATTCCCAGTTCACCCGATTATGTTTCTTGGTTTGTCAACAGCATACCCATGCTCGTGGGTTTCACCAAATTGGTAAAAGTCTGAGACCTGCATGACTTCAGGCTTTCGTCCGACATTAAGCTGACATGCGTGCTATTTCAAGTGTACTCACAGTAATGTGGAGCGGTCCTGTAGCCTAGTGGTTAAAGCGTCCGCTCATCATACCGAAGACCCGGGTTCGAATCCAGACATGGGTACAATGTGTGAAGCCCATTTCTGGTGTCCCCCGCCGTGATATTGCTGGAATATTGCTAAAAGCGGCGTAAAACCAAACTCACTCACTCACCACAGTAATGCTTATTTTATGGCTATGTTTTTCATTGTAACCTTATTTATGTCCATCAGTATATATATGGCGTCTTTGTAAACATAACAGTTTTAGGAAAAGATTTGTGGCTTTAGTGAGTTGTCTCCCCTAGGCGTGTGTGCATCAAGCTCCTCACAGCGATAGCCGATCTGTGGATCTCTCTGTACTATCACTGCCACCAGTCATAGCTCCCCACTGTGCTTGGGAGCCTGCAACCATGCATGGAGTTAAACATGCAACCAACTGACCTTTATGTTTGCAAACAAGTGATGACTGTCGTGTTGCCAAATACTCTTCCTCAAGCTAAATGTTTTGTTTGTCAATTTGAATTTCTATTTCATTTCAACTATTACGTAAGTAGTATAGAGCTGAGGTTAGGGGGAAGTTTGGTGCTGCTCCGTTAGCCTGCAACCTCGGGCCAATCTGATTTAACAAATTCATCTGGAAATCGATGCCAACATACATATTTCTAGGTTCAAATCATTAAAAAAAACAATATTTTCTCAGAAAACCCACTTATCGAAATAAAACTTTGCACTGTACCTCTCCTATTGGTTTAGAAACGGTATGCCCCATTGGCATTGTAAAAAAAATCCATGAAGTAGTTTTTAAGTTCTAGGTCGCACAAATGTTAAAGTAAAAATATATTCTAATTTCAAAACATGAAAAAAGCAATATTTTCTCAGAAAAAACTTATATCGAAATTAAACTTTTGCACTGCACCTCTTCTATTAGTATGGAAACTGTTCCTTCAATTTGAAAAGAATCCATGAAGTTGTTTTCTAGTTATAGGTCGCATAAATGTTTAAGTAAAAAAATCTAAGTAAGAAAATGAAAAAAAGCTGTATTTTTGCAGAAAATCCAAATATTGAAAACAAACTTCACACTGCGCCTCTCCTACGGGTATAAAAAGTGTTCACCAAGTTTGACAAGAATCTTATGTGGTAATTTTCAAGTTATTGTCGCACAAAATGTCAGATGGACATGTGGATGGAAGGAATTCCTTGGTATAACTATATAACAAGATCCTTCAAGACATTATAAAACAAGATCCTTCATGACATTTACCTTGAATTGCAATAGAGTACATTCGTGAATGTCTGACCTTTTAACTTTTAATCTGTCAAGAAATGACTAGACTTGATTTAAATATTTTGACATTCCAGTTTATGGACATCAATTCATATTTGATTTATGTTTCATGTATATATTAATCAATACACTGTAAAGTCACCTTAAGATGTATAAAATATCATTTTGGACTGCATGATTTAGAGTTTAGATTACTGCTGGAAAGTTAAAATTATTAAAATATAAAAGTCTGAGGCTGCAGTGTATGCAGTGGAAGCCAGTGGAAGCCAGCAGCAGAATGAAAAATCATGAGCTGTAGTTAATGTACATGGCAGTTGTCTCCCCTGGCTTGGCTGGAGCCGTAGATAATGTTCATGGCAGTTGTCTCCCCTGGCTTGGCTGGTGTCATAGATTAATGTACAGGGCAGTTGTCTCCCCTGGCTTGGCTGGCGTCAAGCTCCTTCCCAGCGCGTGACACCTTCGTTACACTCTCGGTAACATCGCTGCCACCATTACAAGAATCTTTAAATTTGCCCTCTAACCCCAAATGTACCCCTTAGAAAGTTGCAAGGACAACATGTACACATCACATTTGGTACTGGTACACCCATAGCCCTTAGAAAGTTGTAAGGTAAGCAGTACACATCACAATAGGGACAAGTACACCCATAGCCCTTAGAAAGTTGTAAGGTAAGCAGTACACATCACATTAGAGACTGGTACAACTATAGCCCTTAGAAAGTTGTAAGGTAAGCAGTACACATCACATTTTGTACTGGTACACCCATAGCCCTTAGAAAGTTGTAAGGTAAGCAGTACACATCACATTAGGGACTGGTACACCCATAGCCCTTAGAAAGTTGTAAGGTAAGCAGTACACATCACATTAGGGACTGGTACACCCATAGGCCTTATAAAGTTGTAAGGTAAGCAGTACACATCACAATAGGTTCTGGTACACCAATATCTCTAAAAATAAGTTGTAAGGAGAACAGTACACATCACATTAGGTTCAAAGTTTTATTTTTAAAATTATATATTTTTGCCCTTTTATAGCATAAACAATATATGTGTATGGGCGAAGCCATACCAAAAATTGAGCTAAGATTGTTATGCTAGATAATCCTCATGTTCAAGACTTCCTATGTAGTTTAACAGGACATTGTTTACAAGTGGATTGATACTGTTACCATGGAAACAGGCATTATGACATAATGGGATACGACTATTATGTAATGGTAAACAAGACACGGTCAACATGGAAACATCAAACGTGTTATGTATAGACTGTTAGGAGATTCTTGGTAGCACTGGTATTTGGATGAAGTCAACACGGAAACCAACATAAACAAAACATGTCACTAATATAACATCTAAATATCGTGCGTAGAATTAATTTCCGTCAATTTTTATTAATGTGAAAATAATATATTCACACCAAAAAGCTGAATTTCCATATTAGTAATGACTTGATTTGACATGATATACTGGCTCTTGTAATACTGTATAATTTTGATTTATTCTTCTGGCCAATGTTTATATACTGAAGGAATAAAGTAAGGGAACAGCAATACAACTGAAGAGATTCTCCTGCTGTCTTCAGCATGAATGCCTCAATTACTGAAAAAAATGAATTAAAAAATCAATGCTACTATCTGGCATGTTCATAATATTAACAGACAACCTCTGGTAACCTATGATATATACGCAATATCAAATCAATTATGATCTTTCAAACGTTTCCTTCTACATGTGTTCCTTTATTTATTTCCTTCAGTATATTCTAACAAAAACGAAAGATATTTTAAAATATAAACAGACATAAAAACAGTCCAAAAAAATTGTCCTCAGAATCATTACCTCAAGAATAAGTGTCTTAATTTACCTTAACTTTCAGATTCTTAGAGAAAAAAAAGGTACTTTACTTCTTTAAGTTTAAGGAGTGGGACAGGGATCAGTATTAAAACAATGCAGTCATTTTGCTGCAATCGGAAAACCAACAAGTTCATCACTTGGTTACATGCAGTTGTTAGGGAAATGGTATATCAATATTTCATTCAGTGTGATGATTTTTATAGGCTAACAATGGTAGTCCGACTAGAAAGGCATTTCCTGAGTAAAGCTGGGTAACATAAAGGGCATTCATTTATATGGTTGCCATGGAAACTGAACATATTATATTTGAAAAAAAACAAAAAACATTTTATTTTACGAATGATGAAATAGCACTGACATATAACTACAAAACTGAAGCTGAAGTACCGGTAGCCATTTTGAAATGTAAATTGCTATTTCTAGACATAAATCTTTGATTAGCATTGTGTTACATTTTGATTACAGTCTGATTTTGATTACTTTGCTCTGATATGTTAATATCCAGCATAATATCATACCAACAAACTCTAACCTCAGTTAAATTACTGATGTTCACATCAATACCAAGATGATGTAAAAATACTTATGAGAAATATTAGAACAATTATGAAACAAATTCCATCAATATATAATCAACCATTTCAAAAGTCATCAATCCACCACTGTGGCCAATACAAAATTAAATTAGAATCTTAATATTTTCTTCGGTTGAACAAAAATGTTTTCAGCAGGTTAGATATTGCGTATTTGTCATAACATATGCAATATATTTATATTTGAAGTTAGATGTGTCAATGATTGTGTTGAGTAGTAAGGAGGTGGTACAAGACAGATACAGCTGGTACAAAAAAAATCCCTGTGATTTCCACTGTACAGACTGCCATGTATCACTGGTGTGTCATATTTATTAATATCTTTTTGGTAACTATGGCAACAACCATTTCTATGTACAACTATCTTCTCTCCATCACTTTGGCACATATGAGTTGATTATTTTGTACATCATAAATAACTCTATGATATATCTACAACAGCTCTTTTCCTTCTGCAAAGCATCACTTAACATACCCTCATATCTGAGGTATCTAAGTAGTCTTTGAAGCACAGGAACATTAAACAATCAGCATTTTAACAAACTTGAAAAATGTATACATCTATTCCGAACCTCTGTTAATATAAAACAAATAACAGAAATTTGCATACAGTCCAGTCGTTTCAGATGTTGCTATAAAATTGCCCACTTTTATAAATACACACGACCAATAATGGGTGACTCATGGTGACATGTTTTTCATATGAATGCGAAATGAAAATGGTAATTGTACTGTTGCACAGATGAAAACAAATTTTCATAATGAATTATTGCTTTTATAAAAATGTTAAAAAATCTCAATGTTATCAAAAGTCGTAGGTAAAAAATTTAAAACAGCAAATTCTGAACCAACAGTTTCCTAACCTTTCCTTCTCTTGTCTCAGGTACAAGAACAAAGATTGTTAATATACAATTAACGATTGCACTTTTATGACAGTGGGGGCAGTTTTTGGATTATTTACAAAACAAATCGCTGGCTCAGCGTGTTTGCATACATACATATATATATATATATATATTCATATATATATATACACACACTACAATCCAATCATCATATTCTATTTTTGCATAGATTTCCTTAGTGTTTAAATTGCAAAAACAAGTGTTAATATGAAAGACATTATGATTTAGATTCCTGTCCAAGTGGCACATTCAAACCAGCTGTATATTGTCAACTAATTTCGCACAGTGGTTGAGCATTTGGTTTGTATTCCTGTTTTGTCACCATGGAAACACAACTCTGAAATCATTCCCGGTCGCTGAGCAGTGGAGTTTATGGAATACCTGTTTTTCCAAATATTCACGGATTAAATCCAGCACATCTGTACAGCAGTGGTAATATACCACAGAAGTCTCATATTTTTCAAATATTTGGAATTGCACATTCTTTGCCCATAACACATCAGCTTTCATACAAGCGTCTCTTGTTCATAACCTTCCCCTTTCTTATCAGCTGCGATCATTTCCCAGTGGCGCCACCGTTCCCGCTGCCACTCTGCTGACCCGACAGGAGCGTCGTCACCTTGGTTGAGATTCAAAGGTCGCCTCTGTGACGATGACCTGCGTATTGGTCGAGGTGAGCTTGTACTAGAAGATGGAGGTGACTGATTCGACCACTGTATTGAGGTGTCCGACCCCCCTGGACTGTTTGTTGAGGACAAATAGCTGCTGATGCTGGAGCTGCTGTTCTCTCGGAGATAACTCGGCTTTGGAATGGACAAACTGTGAGAGTATCCCTCGGAATAAGGCCGGTCCCCACGTATATCCACGTGTGGTCGTAACAACACCTCAGGACTAGAACTGTCTCTCGAAACCTTCACCATCGGAGTTCGAGATGTTCGCTGACTCCGTGATACTAGTGGACTAGTGGTCTTTTCAATATTTACACGCACTTTGGGTCTATCATCACTGGAACTTGCAGTCCGCCGTTCCTCTATAACAATCCCTGGCTTTCGCTGAGCAAGTGGGGTGCAAGGGTCGGCACTCTTGGAGGATCGGAGTGTCTGGTGGACACCCATGTAGCCTCGGGAGTGGCAGAGGAGGTCGGCATCACTGCTGGGGGAGTGGGGCATGGAGGGCGAATCACTGTCGTCAAACACACTCGAAGACGTGTCCGGGTCAGGTTCAATCCTGGAAAACAAATCAAAGACATTTATATATTGGTATACCTACGGTCATAAATAGACACACACAGACACAGACACAGACAGACACCCACACAGACAGACACTCCCACACAGAGACATACCCACACAGAGACACCCACACAGACGAACACCCACCCACACAGACACACCCACCCACACACACACACAGACACCCACCCACACCCACCCACAGACAGACAGACACGCCCACACAGAGACACCCACACAGACGAACACCCACCCACACAGACACACCCATCCACACACACCCACACAGACAGACACCCACACAGACAGACACCCACACAGAGACACCCTCACAGACGAACACCCACCCACCCACACACACACACACACAGACAGACACGCCCACACAGAGACATACCCACACAGAGACATACCCACACAGAGACACACACCCAGATACATACAGACACAGACACAGACACACACAGACACACACAGACACACACACACACACACACACACACACACACACACACACACACACACACATGTCTGCTCCTAAGTGCGAGAAGTTCCAAAGCGACGTTCAATTCCATTTCACCTCAACTCACTATACATTAACATAATCAAATCCTCGTTCTCCAAATAAGAGAGACCTGGCATTCATAACACGTTTGGCATCAGCAACTTTACTTACACAACATCATTTGCAAGTTGTTTGAGAATCTTATCTGCAACCTCTGGGTTCGTTTCCATTAGCAACCGTATAACATCGTCATGTAGATCAGGGGGAATCTGGAAAACAGAAAAAAACAAATACAACAGGATGCAAATATTATTATCAATATTATGATTATACGAATTAAAAGACCTCCAATAACATTTTGAAGAAATAAAATATATATTTGAAACTGAATTTTTCATTTCTTTCTTTCGATCTACCAACCTGAACTTTGGAGCCAGAATTTTGTAAACACAAAATTGTCTCAGTTCACAAAGATAATTTAACATAACATCTAGACCTAGACAGAAAATGGGTTCCAACTTGTTGGAAATTGTCTATTGTCATAATGTTCAGCTTACCTCATACAACTGACAATAGTTATCGATCATCTCCTTGACGACCTCTATGACCTCCTTGCTCTGCTCCGCATGTTCCGTTGTTTCCACCCGGAACTCCTTGTCCGGGGATGACTTGGCTTTGTGGAGAATGTTTGGTCCGAACAATGTTGCCAGATTATGGGCGTCCATTTTATTCCCAGAGAGCTGGAAAATGTGAAAATAATGAATAATGATTGGGCATTATTTCATATGTGCTTATCCCATTTGAATAAAAACCTCTACTTGTGATAAATAAATAAATAAATAAATAAATAAATAAATAAATAAATAAATAAATAAATAAGCCTGTATGTCATCACATGGAAACAGAGTTGTCTCCCTTTGCCATTCACCACATGATAAGTGATTGAATATTGCTCAACGGAGCATCAGCGAACTTCCAGCTATTCGAGCACGACACCACATGATGTTGTCGGTGCTGTAACTGTCTCTCTTTAACTAAACCTAATACCATATCTGACACCATTTGTTATGTTTGATAATAACCCATGACCATTTACTCAGAGATGATGTCTGTGGGAATGTGAAGCAATATTTGGTTATTCTTGCTCATAAAACATACCTCGTTTCCATGTTCGTCTATAGTATCTTTGGAATGTTCGACAACCTTCGCCAGGAACTTCAGCAGTGCCCAGAATGTGTCACGATTTGGCAGCGGCAGTAACGACACAAGCAACCTCAATGCTGACAACCGCTTCTCTACATCTTTTAATTCTGGTAGGAGATAAAAAAAAGATTTTTTAACAGAGGTTCATAAGCCACTCTCTACAGCAACAATCACCTAAAATGTTTCACAGAATTACCATTTTCCTTGCAGTTTAATAACATAAGGTCACACATTTTTTATTTATCATTTCACGGCCCGCCATCCCAACTGAAAAGCAGCCGGTCCACGAAATAAATTAAACATAAAATATTTATTTTTATTATGTCTCCCATAGTAGTATATACCCTGTTATGACTACCATGTGACCTACTTCTGGTGGAAATGAAAGGCGTGTACAGATCCCGAGTGAGGAGTGGCTCCGGCAGATCCCGAAAATATTCCTTCAACAACGCCCCAACGTCATGAGGGTTGTGACTTTCATTTAGTGTAATGCTCTTCCCAGTATCGAATTCTTCTTGTAGCTGTTTCACTCGTTTCTTGGACGAACCAACACGAAAAATACCAAGCACTTGCAAACCTGAAAAATCAGAGAAGACATTATTCATACTGATGGCATCATACATTTAATGTGATTAGTTGACAGTGAACATGGAAAAGCTTTAGCTTATCACTAGATGTAATTTCACTGGTATTTGTACAGCATTTGAAACAGATGTCCCACAAACATTCAATTTAAGAATTCTATTTTGTTTGTTGTTCATTTCTCTCACCACCTACTGTCGTTTCATAGGTTGTCAGACATCATATGTTTTCGGACGGCCATGTTCATCGCGATTACTCGTGCTATAACTGGGGTGTAGCATCACACAGACATTCTAAATACTCAGATGATGGCTTGTTTTTAAGAGAAAGTTGTCTTTTATAAGTGAATGAGATGTCTTACAGTTACTCATGTGATTAGAGAGAAAACTATGAATGTTTCTTCAGCGTCCGAAAACCCATAACACAGGGATATGATGTGTTCGATACAAAGTTGTGGCATAATTATAAGCCTATACAAGCTCTGTTTGTGAGAACTTTATTGTCTTCAAGTTACAGATGCCAAAGTGGCCCCGCCTTCCGTTTCCAAAATCAGGTGATTAATATTATGAGCAACGTCATATGCCATGGATGACCAGGTCGAGGAGTCTGACCACCCATCAACTTAGTCGCCCTTGTACGACAAGTATAAGTTACTGCGATCTCACTCTTACCCAGATTCCCAGAGGGGTTGATGGGTGAAATTATTAAGAGAAAATTAGCATATTTGGAAGAGTGTCACCCCTAGAGCTGCCATTACACTGTTACACACAAATTTGATTAATTACCCGAGAAAAAACTCCTCTAAATTTTTCCAGCCTAAATCTTGTTGCAGAACAGTGTATGACACCGTCAGCAACAAACTACTCTCAAACTGCACTGTAAGATAACTGATCCTCACCATACGTTTCTATATGTTTAAAACAGGAATTGACTATCAGAGGAACTTGAGGCGCCCCTGTGGCATAGCAGCTTTGGTTGTCTCCCCTTAGTTCTGACAGTAGCATGGCAGGCTGTGTGAGAGACAGGGAGAGGGCATCGATGAGACTAGAACTTGTGTTTCGACTACTTTCCGATTCCGACAATGAATCTGAACTTCCTCGTCTCTGAAAGAAAGGAAATTTTGCACATTAAGAAAAACACAATTATTTTCGCTCAATCACCATGGCAGAACATACAAATACCACTTCTAGCAAGATAATTGTTGATCGATTATAATGCTACATCATATTTGTCCATGTTATTGGTTATAGTATTAGATTTGATGAAAACTAGGTTCATGACTTAATTTAGACTAACATCTAGCCTCTGAAATGAACATATCTTACAGAAAAAAAACGTTGTTAAATTATGTTAATAAAAATATAATAAAAAGGAGCCTAGAGACTCTCTTCATTTTCCTGATACTGCAGAAATCTAGACTTGCATTATAGAATTATAGACTTGCATTAGGGTCTGTATGACAAACTAGACTTAATTGTATCAATGTGTTTATTTCTTTACATGAACAAAACTAGCTTGTAAAAGTACACTAAAATATATCTATACGTTTCTTTAATGGCATATCTCATTTTTAACTGCTATCCTTATTCCTTAATCACTTCCTGAACCAAAATCCCAAGTAACCTTAATTAGTCAATAATTGCCCAATGCAATCAATTACCTAAGGAATTCTATGACATTGCCCCATTACATCAATCCAAGTAACCAGGTGTCCTGTCAATATTCACTGGAAGTGCTTGACATATTTCAGGCACAAAACGGAGGCCATCTGTCTAGGTCAAGGGAGATAACTCATCTCTATGAATTCCACAGACAGAATTCACAGGTGTAAGATTGAGTAATCTGTGCTATCTGTCATGTAGATCATGCTTCAGTGACCCTACTTGATGGCCATACATAATATGCAATCACTTTATGAAATCTTACTGCAAGTGATATGAAACTGCTTCAGGCAGTGCAGCTGGGTAATCAACTACCATCACTATAACCTAATAAGTGGTTAATAATCACAAATATTTCAAGACTTCCGTTTGCCCACTTGGAACATTCCATAGATATTACTGATTTCTTTTAACAGTTTTGAGGAAAAGAAATATACCAAATATTTATTGAATTCATATTTTCAGTTTACATTTCCGATGCCCAGCAGCTCAGGAAACCTTTTTATTTCACTTTGTTTTCAATTTGATTTTTTTTGTTTTACAACAATGTAGACGTTTCTTCATATCCTTAATGGTTCAACCTGTCCAGCTGTCACCATGTGTGACAGGAAGTAGCATGCTTACCCCATGAGAAGGATTGTGGGATATTGTGCTGCCGTTGTGGGGAACATTGTCCAGAGAGCTTTGGGAGGAGCTGCTTGATTTTCTGAAAATAAAACCATTAATACATAAGAATGTGTTAAAACATCTCTTCCCATTAAAATAATCTGATATTATCTGGTATGACTTGAAATCATATTCATTCATTCATTCATTCATTCATTCATTCATTCATTCATTCATTCATTCATTTTCCTTGTTATAACATTTCATTCATCTGTCAATCTGTCCAATAATCCATCCATCCATCCATCCCTCCCTCCCTCCCTCAAAACACAAGGACCAAAGATACTGTAAAGTCCCACACAAATCTCCCACAATGCAGCACTACTGGTGGCTCACCTTTGACCATGAGGAGACAACAATACATCAGCACTTTCACTGCGGACCTTTAACGATGTCGATGGCCGACTACTTTGTCTTTTATGAACTTCTCTGTCGTGAGCGATACACTTTGACAGCGGGATTCCAAACACCAAACCATCTGAAACAAAATATTACAATATTAAAAACAAATAAGACTTCAACAAGCATCTGACTGACAACACTTGGAGTCCTCTACAGTATTGTCAACTAAACCTCACACATCAAGCACACTAAATACAGCAGTGTGAAAAACTGTCACATATGAATTTTTTTTCAAAATACACGCAACTCCAGTTAACTTGTGTTGTAATTAAACCAAGGATACCGTATTCAACGTAATAAGCGCCCAGGGCGCTCTCAAAATTAGAAATAGGGGGCTCTTTTTAGAATATCATTTTGGTGAAAAAAACAGAGTTAAAGGATAAATTTCTTGGTTTATGCTGACAGCCTGAATTGTTTATATACGACAGATATATTTTTCCAGAATTTAATTGCCCATAATTTAGGGTGCATATAACACACGAGTGCGTATTATACGCGAATAAATAAGTCTTGTGTACATTGATCAATTGGAAGGGGTGCTAATTGGGATTGTTCACTAGCCAATATATTAGCAAATATTGCCGTGGGCGCTTATTAGAGTGGGGTGCTTATTACGTCGAATACGGTACTTGAAAACCAGTTTGTTTATCAAAATTTGGCCATGCTGAATTATTGCCATTTCTCGACTACATGTTGCATCCCACCCATGTTTGCCCATATCTCAGCCTCCGTAATGTCCCCTGCTCCAACATTAAGCCGACCCACACTGACATAACTGAGCTACTGTTCAAAGCAGCTTAAACCCAGCTCACTCACTCTAACCAGTTTTGTTGCTATAACCAAATTTCCAATACTATAAGAAGCCAAACGACACTTACTGTCTTCTCGAAGTTGATAATGAAATGATTCAAGTCATGAAAGATATTTTCAATGGTTTATCATCCTAACATTTTCCCATGGTTTACATCATACGGCTTCATATCACCACATTTCAGTGTTACTGAGTGCTTTCATATCACAATGTTATTAGTCATATCAGGCAGGCGTTATAGGCAATATTTCCCTCTGTGCAAATCTTGGCATGGGTCTGTTAACATCCTGGCATTCTACTCACTCATCTTCTTAAAGTAATTCCCTATTTGAAGACTACAATATGTTATCCCATCCCTCTCACAAGATCCCTTCTAATAGGAATATAATGATTCAAAACCAACCCCCGCACAGTTAACCATCCTGGTCTTAGGGAGCTATTTTTCAGTGTCACTAGGTTGTGTCAGTCCCTGGCTTCACAGACTGTACTTTTACAATGTCACATTACGATTATGACCCCATTGTTTATCTCAGCAAGGGGTCTATCTGAAAATCCCGTCAGTTTTAAGAATACCACAGTGGATATGTTATCATTGCAAGATATTGTGAAAGATAGGCTCCATATGGATCAGTTACTGTTTGTTCTTTACAACTACTAACCACTGCTTGTCTGACACTGTAGATAAGACAATAAGAGTATTAGGTTTAATACATCACTGCATGAGTTGTCTGATAATATTTCAGATTCATATCATTGTTAACAATATTACTTAACATTATTTTTGCCAGATAATATTTCAGATTCATATATCTTTTTACAAATATTACTTATCATTATTTTTTGGTGTTTTAGTAACATATTTTTTTTTGTTATTCTACATAAGCCCTTACAATTGAACAAAGGCTATATTTTTATTCATATACTATTAAATATTAATATTATGGAAATCATTATTTTCACTAATTAAAGAATGTTTATTCAATATTCAATGAAAGCAACAAATCATTAATTAATTCATGAATTAAATCATGCCCAAAAGATAAGCTGTCATGAGGATAATGTGCCATTTACTGGTAGTTGCACAATGTTTTGTTTGTAGAAAACATCGAAGCAATTTCACAAATTAGGTCACAAATTAGGTCATTCCTATCTCTTTTTATAAATAAACATGAACGTACAGGACCCAGACTCTCACTGAGTACGTAATTCCAGGATGTAACACTGATTGTGTACAGTGAAAACCTAGAAGTAATCTATTACAAGAGTTTTGACAGTATGTTAAATATCAGGTTCTCTCAATGTCATAAATATAAATTTACAAACCTTTTATTGAATACTGAAAACTTGAACAAACATGGATAAACAGGTGTAAATGATGTTACCCATGACCTCACTCACATGGCATATCTTGACCTGATAGTATCAAATTACCAATATATCCCCAAATGATACAGGCATTTCAAGTAACAAGGTACCGTATTTGCTGTAATAAGTGCTATGGGCGTTTACCAAATTGACAAAGAGGGACGCTACGAAAACCCTAAACAAGTTACATGTATATTTTACACAGGGCCACGGATAGCCATACTATACTGACTGTACTGATTTTTTAAATGTAATCAGCACAGTCAGTATAGTATGGCTATCCGTGGCCCTGTGATATTTTATATTCAGATCCTCTGTAGATCCACTGAGGGCAATGCTGCTCAACAGTGCTAAAAGTGAAGGACAGACTTGCTCTCTACTAACAATGGACACAGTTGATGGTGTTAGTTGAGATACTTTGAGCAGATAACTGACAGCAGCTGTTCTGTTTAATAAAGAGGGCGAGATGACGATGTTACTTCTGCTTATAGTTATAACATGACACTACCCATGTGACAGAAGGTTTCAGGAAACAAAACAAAACAATATATGTTAATCTGACTCTGCCATCAATATGTGTTTCTTTATTCAGGCAGTCAAAATATAGGGTTGATTTGTCATTTTAATCTTATTTCAAAAAAATAATTATTTTTGTTCTTTTAAAACAGTATTAATTTGCTTTTGGCATCGATATGTGTTTCTTATTTCAGCCCATACATAAATGGTTGGTTGGTAATTTAATCTGTTTAAAAAACATTCTTCTTTAAAACAAAACTCTTCTTTAAAAAACAGTATTTTGTCAGTAAAAGCCCGCTTTAATATGAACACAATCATGATATCTATAGAAAATTTATGCCAGAGGCCTACAGTCTGGATAATACTGGGCTGGTGATAAAAGCTATGGTCCAACTGGGAAAAACAACCAAGCAAATTGGTTTAGGGTAAGGGGCTCCAAATTAACATTGGTCATAAAAACAGAAACACACTTTTTTGTTTTGGCCTAAAAAGATAAAGACATCACATCATTTTTAAATTGCTAAATAATGAAAGAGCTTGAACAGTTTTGACAAACACCAAATAAAGGCAACTGTGAGCCATACCATCTTGTTATATAGTAATACCTACATATTAGTATAGTGGTGTATACTTAGTGACCTAAATATGTTATTACATATTTCAAGAGGCAATACATTTTTTATATAACCTCTAGAAAATCGCTTCTGCAATATGCAAGCCATGTGAAATATGCTTACATAAAGTAGAGATTGTGTATTTAATAGTCTCCTTGCACTGACAGTCTGATTTATTGAGTTACATTTTATGTAAATGACATATCGAATGTCTGTCACTATGTGCCTAAAAAGTAACACAATCTTCCATTCACTGTGTAGCTTATAGTGACTGAAACACACAAGGTCCATAACATTAAGTGTTAGATCAGTAGTGAGTGTAAATTTAAAGTTACAAAATATTTTAGGCATTCAAGATGATTTTGAAATGCCTCAGATAGGACAGAATAATTAGCATAGATAAAATTCCTGAGTTTTCACGGTCATGTGGGTGACTACATTTGGTTGAAATGTGATATACGTTGTATTGTGTCCTCAAACATACATGACATTCACACAATATTCAGATTCTAACGTGATTGGTTAGATATTATTCATATACACAAAAGACAATGTATCGTGATATGATTTACAGTGTGAAAGGAAATAAAATATTAAAATAATTTCAAAAGTGGAATGAAATGCATTAATAATTTAGTTGGGACAGAAACTTGGCATATAGTATCTTAAAAATAAAGTTAAGTTATCGTAATTGAATGTTGAAAAAATTAGATAAGAATGTAGAAAGCATATTTGTTGATTTGTTAGCAAACATGAAAATGGAAAATAGCACTAGTCTTCTAGTACAGCGGATAGAGTGTTTGCTCATTTATTCAAAGAGAGGGTTTTATTCCCACGTGTGTGATGACCTTTACTGGTGTCACCCACAATGATATTGCTGGAATATGTCTAACTCACTCACTCACTCACTATCATATATGGTCTAAAATCCTACTTGTACCACATGAGCTGGGACTCGAGCTGATTTGGTTGCCATTAAATCAGCGGTGTTGCCCTAAGCGTGACAATGACATCTCAGTCGAAAAGAGATTAATGACACTCATCAACACAACATATATTCTTTCCCGACCTTGAACAAGAAAGGAAAATCCTCACACTTCTTTAGTAAGCAGCCATTTTAAAACATAATGCATTTGTTCAAATGACAAGTCATTATTACTTAAAAATGCTGAGTGTTCAAATTTCCTTAACAAAAAACTTTCAAATCTCTTCTTTAACACACATGTCAATACAAATAGCATGTAAGTAATAGTATAGTATTATAATAAACCTAAAATAATCTAAACCTAAATCAAATAAGAATAACATTGTTTTAAGATTTATACTTTTACAAACTGTTGTATCATGTTTTAAAAAAAGAATATCACCAAAGTAGGTGGATTATCTTACCTTCCTAGTCCATAAATATAATACATACCTCTAGTCAATAAAAACATTATATTACCTATCTTGTCAAACATTGGCCCATCCCAGCTATTAGCTATGTAAACATTGTACAGATCTTTCAACCAGCAAGGTCACCAGTTCCGACCCTCACTCTGTGTGTGACCTACATATGATGACAACTGAAGCCATAATTCTATTATCACTCCGGAATTTGGTCATGGGCTGGCACTCTATACCTACACCATACCTATGTTTACTATACACCTGTATATCTAATGTCCCCTGACACCTGCAGACTTCAGACTTTTATAACAATACAGATGTGTTTGTTATTACACCTGATGTAAACTGATAGTTTTATCTGTTACAAAATGTGTTTGTATTTTTTTAAGTTGTTCACATGGAGCGGTAAAAATAAAGGTGAGATATATACACATAAAAGCTTTTTGAATAACATCAGTAACTGGGTATGATATAATTTCTCAAACTAAAAGGTTGACAACCTAAATAACACATTTCACATTATACACTAAGTGGACTGTTAACAGTGTATTTATAAGGTGAAGTTGCAGTGCATATATTCAAAGAGGTGACAAACGGGATCGGGTGGTCAGGCTCACTGACTTGGTCAATATTGTAGATCATGATGTTGACCACTGGATTTTCTGGTCCAGACTAGAATTTTACAGAACGCCAACATATAGCTGGAATATTGCTGAATGCTGAACAAAAAAAACCAACAACAAACAAACAAAACTCAAAAGAAGTTCAAGATCACCCTGATTCTTCTGCCATGACAGATTAACTATAGTAATATGAAAGAATAGGATGTTCTTTAACTTCTTTAGAATAGAATAGTTTAACTGTATATCACTTGTGTCATCTAGGACTATTTTTGACTTAGTTCGTTCCTTGTATTCCTATTTTTCAATACTGCGCAAATATCCTATGTCCAGAGATAAATCTCAACCTGCTGAGAGGCTGACATTTCCCTAAGTTTGCTGCAAATGTCAGTTTAAATTCCCAAATTGGAATTACAAATTTCACAATTCATGTGATATAGTAATAAGTAATGTTATGCCTTTGAAGAGACAATTTCCACTTCACTGACCAATTTGAGCAAAATAACAATACTTTCACAAAATGCTTGCCAAGGACACTCAGTTTGGTATCCTCTGAGCTCCAGATAACTTTTTGAGCAATTGAAGTTTTACTCTAGGGTTTTGATTTTAAATGAAATTATGTTTTAGATGTATATAACTGTTCTAAATATATAGGCTTGACTCGGAAAGTAAATTAGCTCATAATTGTGTTTCGGAAATTAGCTTGCATGCATTGAAAGTAATTGAAAGTAATTGGGTTTTGAATATTTCGGTGGGTATTTTACGCAAATACGCTGCTTATCTGTAGCTCTGTATCCTGGATATCCTGGTGTAGTCACAATGTATATAGTTTGAATAATAAATCACCTGTGTTACTTTAAGCATGTCACAGATATAGTTCAGGTATTTCCCTCACACAACCACAGGGGCTATAAGTTATGTTGAACACCTTAACAGTTTAATAAAAAAATGTTTTACACCTATGCAATTGTGAACACTACCCACTTGACCTATATTCACCTCAAGTCAAGCCAGTGGCACATATTCTTCATATCATGATTGCCCGAAGGCTTCTGGGATAGGGTGAATATCATTCGTATCACACCATCTCTATACTAGCTCCAAATCACCTTGACTAGAGGCCGTCAGCCTTGCCCTCTCTTTGGATGGAGGTGTCTCACCGAAGATGTTTGAGATTAAAGTGGATTAAAATATGGATTATCATAGATTCTGAAAGTGCAACACTTTCTGGTGAAACCAATACAAGCTGATTGAGCATGCCTGACCAGGGTCAAAGGTTAACATGAAAGTTTAAACTGTTGACAGTGGGGAGGGTGTGTGTGTCGGGGTGGGGGTGGGGGTGGGGGTGGGAGGGGGAGTGTTTATATAGATTAGTAGGTGTAGATACTGCTAAGATTGGGATATTGGGTACTGTTGCTAGTATCTGCCACATGTTTCTCGAGTTAATACCAATGGGTTAGATCAAACTAGCTGATTGATAATTTTGACTTGCGGTTTATGTAACATAACAATTTTTTTGTAAAAAACATATTTCCAGATTTTCACTAATCTTGTCACTAACAGCCTAGTGGGAGGTATATTTACATGACAAAACATTATCGTATTAGATAGGAAAATGACTTTTCAAAGTATAACCGATAATTGAAAGAATGATTGACTATAACAACAACAATAATTATAATAAATAATAGATAAATAATATTTTAATCTTTTTTTGAAAAAATAATTAACAATAATAAATATAACAATAAATTTTTCTTTTATTTATACATGAACAAATTCCCAAGAGACAAAGATGAGTCTATCGACTAGCCCCTGTCCTAACAATACTCAGGTAAAGTTGGTGAGCTAATGACATAAATGATAGATCCACCCTCGAGCTAATTCTATTTCAACTGCCCACATGACCCCAGGATGTTTGCCCTGACTGAATGTGGGGGTGGATGTTTTTGACCTATATTCTTGACTTGGGAGTGTCAGAATTCTGTTGAATGAAATACCATTCAATATCATGACCATGATATACATATACATTATTTACCAGACATTCTGCTATGATATATGGCCATATCAGTTTCTGTCTGAATTATTCATGCTTTACATTAAACATTTTGTTATCATTGTTATTCAAGAACTATTTTTTTTTGGACAATATATTGTTTCACTCAGTGGGTACTGATTCTTTGTTTGTTTGTTTTCAAGTTCTGTAATTTTAATATGTGGTTTGAAAATATTTGCAATATTTCTGAATATTCCTGCTTTCTCCTTTGACTTCATAAATAACTTGAGAGCACTGAATAAATTTGATATCTATACAAGACATTCATTCATCAAACTGAAAATAGATTTTATCTGTTCAGTAAATTATCACAAGCCTAACACAGTAGAAATTTTGAAATGATTTAACCACAATAACATTTTGAAAAATCCTATAAATGTACTTAATGGCTTGCGCTACACTACATTTATAAATATTTAACACATTGTAATGCAAGAACTTAAACCTCAAAATACATTTAATAGAACATTAGTAGCAGTCACGTGGAAAATAGTTTCTGTCGCCAAGGTCAAAGGATGACTGGGGGAATGACATTTCTCATGCACCACCAACCACAGTTGTGGGCGTGGCAGGTCCTTGTCGCAAACATATCGCACCCCTATAGAGTAAGCTTCAATCACACACCAGGTCGTTCTATAAATCTGTAGCCTCTCTTTCATTATCATACCCTTAGAGCCTCTGTTTCATTCTATACATATCAATAACAGTCTATTGAAATAACAGGGTTTGCTTGGAAGGACTAGTATATATATATGACAGTAGCACAGATAATGGCAATTGTGTGGCTGAACAGTTTCAGTAGTGTTTATTACAACCAGGTGTAGGCCTTTTTACATACTTGTTTGGTGATAAAAAGGACAATACATGTATATCTTATAACAACCTTATTTTAAGTTGGGAACTTTGCAGAAACATGGTTTTGAAAATTGATTTCTATATTTCTGTTTTTTTAGATTTTTGCAAATTCATTTTTCAGAATGCTAAGCAATTGTTTGAAGAATGTTTTAATGTTATGAATTTTTAAAAAAAAACATGAGTATCTAAAAGCAAATTACCTTCTTTTATAATTGTCAATTCTTCCTGAAGAACCTTTTTTAACACAACACTGTAATTCATCCAAAATTGATATGCTTGAAAATAAAGGTGCAATATTTTGGCACAATGAAACCAACCTTTTGGGTTTGAATCCTTCTGTTTTTCTTTCTCAGCTAGAGTATCCAACAAACCAGCCAGATTGGCCGACTTTGATCTTCTTTTCATCGACAACACTTTCTTTGACCTCCGATTGTCATCAGAATCTCCTGGAAACAAAATAACTTGTCCTTATTATCATTATTAACATTCAGATACTAACAATCATCATAAATACTATCATGGTTCTGAGCATGTATTTCAATAGTCACCATAATTATCAGTTGTCACAGGAATAGTGTCTTATTATATTGGTACTATCACAGCTGCCATTGCCACTAATGGTCAAATTGTTACCATGAGTGTTAATTAAGCAGGCATGTTAATATTTCATATAAATTATTAGTCCAGCTATGGTTGAATAATTTAGGGTACCCCCTTTCAGCCGTTACCCTTCCATCCTTGAGCTGCAGTTACCATATTCCCCCATCCGTTCCTCCATAAGTTTTTTTTCTCTGTGACTACTTAGTGCTACGGTACTGAATTAATGTGTTCCTAAAGGCTTAACACATCAGCTGATCATATTTATTATTTTATTATTTGAAATATACAAATACCAACAACTACTGAAGTGATAGCTAATACTAGATATCTGTAGCATACTACTCTCACGGTGTGCGTAAGTATGTGCACGCGTACGTACATGCGTGTGCGTCTTCCTATTTACGCGTATCCAAATTCTAAACATTTTAAATGTGTTTATGTACAAATGACGCAAGTGATCCCCACAAGCGAATACCCCGTTCTCCACATTTGTTGATGACGCAGAAACACCACAGATGTACGCGCAATGGAGTGTGACACGTGACATACTTCGGGCGCGCCTATTGGCACACAGTTGTGTCGACCATCATTGCGATCTATCGGTAAAAACCTTTACACGATGCCCGAGGCCAAATTCATAGTAGACCTACTTTAATACTCCACATATTTTGTCACACGACATCAAAGCCAATGTGTAAATCGATGAAATAAAATATAGCTATAAACGTAAGATTTATATTCATGAATTATTGACAATTGTTTCTGGACTAACTAAATACTATAACAAGAATTTATTCGAAGCCAGTGTCACGAAAGTGGTAAAGATCTACGGCCTGCGTTACTTTGAGATTTCCACTTGCATAAAACTGAAAATATAGTATAACCGAAAGGCTGTCCAAAGTGGCGTAAAACCATCCCACATACTCATTCAGAATGGTTAAACATGGACTTCTGTCTGAGGCGGGACTAATTTTGCAGTCTGCGCTTCAAGATTAGTTTCTTCTCAGAAAGCGGGGCGGGTGGTTAGCCTCGATGCTACATCGTTTGCTCGACAAGCCGAAGGTCCGGGTTCTTTACCTACATGGTGTGTGAAGCCCATTTGTAATTTCATATACATATTCCCGAGGCACGAGTGTCCACAAGCCTTTTTAATCAAAGGCTGGGGTTTTGATATAGGCTAGTCGACACGTTTGCCTCGGGAAGATGGCCGTGATATTGCTGGAATATTATAAAATTGGCGTAAAACCTTACTCCCTCCCCCATTCTTCTCCGAAAGGGTTTTGGGGATCCACGACATGTTATTTTTTCAGAACATGTAGCATGTCCAGTGAACAAGGCTTTGGGGAAAAAAATCATCATCATTTTCGGGAATATTATTTTTCCAAAACAATCCCACATTCCCTTCAGTATAACAAATGGTCGGCCCATTTTCTCCCTGGTTGTCAAGATGGCTGCTACATGCGCTTTCTGTAGACGTCAACAGATATATCAAAAGCTCTTGATCTTTATGCGTCCAAAATACCCTCATGTAAAGCTCCCTGTGGTTTGGACTACACAGGTCCGTGAAGATGACCGACCCCGACAGGCGATACATCACCCCCAAATATCCTCCCTGTTTACCACAAATCACGGACCATTGTTGGCCGCCCGGTGTGTAATTCCCCGCAATCCCCTCCTGTATGGACCGTGAAAGTATGCTCAACGAACGTGCAACCATGCAAGAGAACGCTCAGGGAGGAGACCAGCATAGATAATGCACTATACTTATGTCCCCTTTCATCTCACCACTTCTACAGAAGCAGAAACACAGAACATATTTAGGAACATGGAGGTAAACGTGAGAAACCGTCATATCTGATAATGTTCAAGGCTAATTTGAGGACAAATTCGACTTAAATTGTTGTGAATGTAATTGCGAGAGTGGGTACTAATGTTTCAATACTTACATACTATTTCGAAACGCTTGGTTGATGATAAACGATTTGAAAGAAATAATTGTAATTTTATAGTCCTTTGATTTGCTCTAGCAGATTGATATCATAATATGACGTATCCCAGAGTGCAGTTCACACGTCATTGTGCCTATCGAAACTGCGAACGTTCTAAAATATCATTATATTATTCCCCCCCAACGTACAAAATCATTCAATGACGAATAATAAACCTTTAGATGAACAAAGTTGTTTTCAAAGTGCCTCCGTCTATTTTGAACAGGTGCGGGTGACGCAGTCGTCTTAGGCACCGAAAATCGCTGCGTGCAGAGTTGCGTCCCTTGGGAACGCCAGAAACCTATGATTGTGGGTTCGAATCCTGGTTCGCCCCCATTATGTTTCTAGGTTTGTCAGCACCAAACCCGTGCTCGTGAGTTTCACCAAAGTGGTAAACGTCTGAGACCTGCATCACTTCGGGCTTTCCTCCCACATCAAGCTGACACGCCGTGATATAACTGGAATACTGTACAGAGCGGCGATAAACCCAACTAACTCACTCACTCACTACTTTGAAATCCAGGTGTGTCGACAATGAAGCTTGGAATCAGAGGGAATATATGAGAACAGCCGAGTTTCTCGATAACAGATTCCTATAGTATTTAAGAGACATTCCGCACGTCGAGACATACATTCTTTTTGGGATAAACGTCTTCGGCATACAAATATAATGTCTGCTGTATCCGAAATTCAAAGACCTACGTCACATTCTTCAATTATTTCAACGCTGCTTCCTGGAGTTTTTGTGCATCCGAAAACACCCTATTGTCACCTTTGAGATGCCATTAAAAGAAGAATATATAACCCTTGTCATTTGTCATTTATATTCTCTCAACACATCGCGGATGTTGGAAAGACATGTCGTCTTATCGCCTTCCTGTCGCCAGGCGACAAGTCAGTAGCATGACTGCCGGAGATGCCTATGCCAGTCGAAATGATGACAGTTTTAAAACCATGAACTATTTTAAGCTAATTTTTCATTTTTATCTTGACACCGTGACCACCTTTTCGACTAATTTTCATTCCGTGACGTTTTAACGCCTGCATGTTCTTTTGCAACTAAAGACGACCACGCTTTGTAATTGTCAACTTCACAATGTATTCAAATAAAATATGTAAATGCTTTTCCGGAAATAAAATTTTAATACTAAAAAGCTGTCATGACGTGAATGTAAGATTTAGAAACTCGGTATTAAAAATAGAGTTAGCAATGACTGGGTAAAACTTGAACTTCCTTGTATTCATACGCGCACCTTGTACACCCATATAAGGGTATCACTGGAGCCCACACGAGATATAGTCCCTATCGGTAGTTCGTTTGTGTGGGCGTAGTATGTTCATCGTGGTTCGAAACAAATAAACAAATGCAAACAGGCATAGACATCGAGGGAGAAAGCACGTGGCATTCCAGACAAGAACAGAATAAGAGCCATCCGCGGAACTACATACATTCGGTCGTTTCCGCTCTATTCTCTAATTTGAACCCTTTTAGTGGTATAGGTAGCGGCCATTACAAGACCCACAGCCAAACCAGCGGTCATAAGTGAAATGAAGTAGACGTCTAGTATCACGTGATAATTTGAACATGTCACGTGATATATAATCAGAAAATTTTGTAAATGCCCTAGACATGATGTAACTAATGATGGACGTTTGAGACCATTTACCAGTTGACTAGGTGTATCTAGAAAGTACACTGCTGCTCCACGCGTGCAGAAATAACACAGTTTGGATCAGCTGTCAGGGTAATATGACAGAACAGATATGCTGACGACGACAAACACGTACAAGCACCTGCAACATGGGCGGTACACTGATGCGAGGGGGGTTATAGGTTGGGGGTCTCGAAACATTACGCCGGGGAGAGTGACCTGCAAGTTCAAAGATGAAGGTCGCTTTGACGTTCAGGTTACCATTGTATACAGACATTCACGTTCGCTTTCGTTGTGTCAGTTCTAACTGTAGTCCTGCACCATGACCGTGGAATATATTTATTTTATGAAAAAATAATAATCTAGAAATGCATACAAAAGCAAGTCTAGCCAGCTCAAGCTAGCTCTATTCCACAGCATAGGGAAATCAGCATAGGGAATTTTTTATATTTTTAGAGTCAAGAAGGATATTGTGTAATATAAGATTTCAGAGACTAAATGTTAGTCTATTCTAACTGGTGCACAATATGGAAGCCTCACCGGTCTGTATTCTGGCCACAAGTGAATGTGTTCGAAGTGTCTTCTGTGATGATCACTTCCATCAACATAAGTATTGTCCTTCGTCCCACGTTTAATATGTATGACCAAAATCCTCCCATATTCCCTTTCGTATCAATAACAGCCACGTTATTTGTTTTGTTTGTTGTTTAACGCCTCACGCAGCAATATTCAGGCTATATATGACGGTGGTCTGTAAATAACCAAGTCTGACATCATGAACATCGATCCACGTGATTGGGTTACGAAGACATGCATCAACCAAATCAGAGAGCCTGACCACCCGATCCCCTTAGTCGCCTTATACGACAAGCGAAGTCGCCTTAAAGGGCAAACTTGGGTTGCTGAAGACCTATTCGACCCCGGATCTTCAGGGGTCAGACCATGTTAAAGATGGCAAGTCATAGGGATGTCTATATTCGCATCTCCGTCAAAAGAGAAGGATAATAAAACAGACAAAATTGAAAAAGAGAATAGTTTCTACAGTGATCGACTTCTTTTATTTAAACCGGAACTTGCAAACCGCTTTGCGCAACGGAAAACATAATACGCAATTGCCAACTGATCATATACAGATGTAACTTGAGAAGTCTCCTCGATCAACCTGAAGACCACAACTACCTTACAACCTATTACTCCATATGCTGTGATGTTCCGTCAGTCCATCTCCCACCTGACAGGTGTTGCATGGATTGGTACCACGTGGTAGGTAACGCTGCTTGTATGGTTTGACGTGGTGATCTACGGCCTCGACCCACTGACACTGATGACAGTATCAGCTTGTACAACCCGTATGTATGTGTGTTTCTACCTTGTCACCTGGACGACAGTCCATCAATAACCTCTTAGCCCACGACATTCATGTCCAGAGACCTCAGGAAGAACCTGTTTTGCGACCATGCTATACGTCTCTGTTGCGTTCTGTCGTTACTAATGTCTTGCGAGTCGGGGAAGATAAATTCAGTTTGGCGACATTTCTCAGCAAATTTGAAGCAATATCAAAGAGATTCCAAGTCTTCTATTGTCTCTGTGTAGCTGATACGACTAATATCTAACTCGTTCACTCTTATTCTTCTGAGAATCGAACTGGGTCCTTCTGTATGACGCGCAAGCGCAGTAACCACAAAGTCACGTGGTCGTATTCAACAACAAAAACGTTTCTTTTACTTAACCCAGCTGAAAGTATTTGAATCTCATGACGCCACATTTTCCTGTTTACGTAAGCATGTCTTGATGACCTTGCGACATACACAATTGTTTGTTTGTTGTTTAACGCCACACTGAGCAATATTCAAGCTATTTGACGGCAGTATGTAAATAATCGAGTCTGGACCAGACAATCCAGTGATTGACATCATGAGCATCGATCCACGCAACTGGGATACGATCACATGCATCAACCAAGTCAGCGTGTCTGACCACCCGATCCCGTTATTCGCAAGCATAGTCACGACAAGCTTGGGTTGCTGAAGACCTATTCAAACCCGGATCTTCACGGGTCACGCACTTGGTTGAAGGTGCCTATCACAAAACAATTAAATTTCACAATGCTTTTTTCCGTTCGCCTTTTAGCCAAATGTGTGATGTGACCAAGCTTAATGTAGTCATAAGAGACGCTTTATCCAGGAACAAACAAAGCATCTGGTTTGGTGTGAAGAAATATCATAAAAAAAACTTTAAAGCCTTAAACACATCATGACAAGCGGGAGACAATGGCTTGTTCATACTGCACTAAAAAGCGTTACCACAAAGGTGCACTGTCTGCAATACAGTCACGCCCAAACGGAACTGTCATCGTGTCATCTTAGTACAGCTGACTCAAGTGACGTAACAGGTTTAGCTTCTTGAAGCGTTTCAGGCAGTTTAACCTTGAAGTCACCTCACAATGATATGAATGAATAAACATGACACTGTAATACTATGCTAAATGCTAATTAGTTTATACGTATCCCAGAAGCCCTTGCGCAATGATGACCTGCCTGACGTCCGATATTTCGCCATTATACTTGTGATGGCATGGGTTTACTGAGGTCAGGGGTCAGAGGTTGGATGTTGACCTTAGGCGGAGGCATATATCAGATTAACAAGAAAAACTGACATTGTGCTTAGTTTTCCGCATTCCTTTTTCAAGTTCAGCTGTACGCCCTTTAGTTGAGGGAAGGTAAAAATAACAAGAAAATCTTACTGCTCATCCTCGCTTGTCCGATATACCTCTATTTCCATTCTATTATGACATATACCTTAGACCCATTTGCCACTGCAGCTTCGTTTCGGAAGTGACGGCACCATCTCCATCTCTCTTATCTATTTACATAGCATAGAATTTATCTCGCCCATGGGTGTTATTTGATTGGGCGATTATTTTGGCGTCGTGCCATTCGAATTAGGCTCAAAACAAAATTATGGCAGCGAATGAGTGCAGGCTAATTTTCACAATAGAATGGAGATATAGTACACTGGATAGTCGGATACACAATGATAAGTTCTGCAGTGTTCAATGCAAATGTTTCATATCCAAAACATACGACACAACGTGAAATATTGGTGGGTTATCCTAGAATAATCTCGTTTACAGATTTGCGGGTGTTATTGAGTATCTAATGCCCGGAAAGTTTCTTTGGAACCGACAGCGTTAACGTGAGTGAGTAGGGCTTTTCGCACCTTTTAGCAATATTCCAGCAATATCACGACTGGGGACACCAGAAATTAGCTTCACACATTGCACCGATGTAGGGGAATTGAACCCGGGATTTCTGCGTGGCGAGCGAACGCTTTAACAACAAGGCTACCCCACCGCCGCGACGGCGTTAAGGGATACGTAAGGGATGTCACGTATAAAACAAGTCGCCCCTATTAATGTTCCCTTATACAGCCCAGTATACTTATAGATGAGGTGATTCTCTAGACAGGGGTATGTAAATGAAGTCACAGCTTCGGATGTTCATGTCAGGGATTATGTAATATGATATGAAGTATATCCCCCGATATTGCCATACAAGGACACGTAATAACTCACAGATGTGAGGCATTAGTAGACTTGTCATTGCAGCAGACGACAGACATAATTTACGAGTGGGGGTTGTACAGACAGGTATGCGGGTCATCTGGAGCGTCCCTATCTCCCAGCACCATCGTGGTAAATTATTATTAGCACGTCTTCCTGTCTCATATAAAATGGACGTTTACTTAAGCTTTTTTCTCGAATATGCGTTTTCAAAGTGTGTCTTTATTCAAGTACAGGGACCGCTTTCATTTGACGAATTTCATTGTTCGTCGGATTTTTATAATAAATTGAGGAGCTTGATACGATTATTACTGTTACTGTACTGTACTGTTAGTACTGTTGTTGGTTTTTGTAGCTAAATAGTTCTGTAGAGAAACAACGATCATTTCGACGAATAAATAATCAATCTGTTGGATCCTAATTAAGCAACACTATTCCAATCGTTCCATGATACACAAAAATGTCTCATGTACATTTAAATAGAATGGCATATCTGATTATCCCTATCAAAAGTGGAGTAGCATATTCGGACACATAGTAGTCACAGTGCTATTGATGTCAAACAGAGTATTCTACACATGTCAACCACGCATCTCACGTGTTGTAACACTTATACTGTGCCACGCAATATTGTCAGTTGTATCTCGCTTTATGGTCTAAGATCTCATGAAGAGAATGAGGACCATGCTCGGTTGTCCATACGATGGCCTTGGAAAGTCAATGCCTTCAACTATGCCGCTAAATCCATTCCCTATGGTGCCCAGAACACATGCAGATGTCCGAAACCTCCTACAATGCACCTGGCATCCGGTATGGCCATGGTTTATGTTGTCTTGGAATGGAATCAATGAGAAACATTCGCCGTCCAAGAAAAGCGTTCGACATTTCTTTCCCAGATTGACGCCAGAAGAACGACCGTCATGTTATTCCCACAGTGTTTTGAATTATCTCCCTGGACAATAACACGTTGCTTTTATCGACCACCAGGTGTCGCTCACGGTATCTGTTGGCGATTCGGACATGCTTCAGACGAAACGTTTGAGTGCCCAACACGTGCTTTTAATGTGGGTTTCTATACAGGTGCGCGGTCGTAATTACTTCACCGCGTGGTCTTGACAAAATGGAACTAATTGGGAGTTTGAAGTGACCACGCTTTCATCTCTCGACTGGTCTGATTTGATAATGTCCAGCGTATGACTGCTTCGCCATTCAAGGGGCAACAGGCTCCGTCAATGACCGTTATTGACTTCTCCATATAGATTAATGTACATGATGCAGAATGTGCTCTCATGCTGGGCTAACACAAACCTTTGATTGAGGCGATAACGGTAACACGACCTTAATGAGACTAAACAAGGTCACTCCATTTAGGTGTCAGAGAAGCACAATCAGGACATTGTCAGTAGCCTATGCTATATTCATAAACTACACGTGCACGTCCTTGACCCTCAAGTGACAGTGACTCATGTGACCCCACGCGCATTACATACATTCGAGAAACAAGAGGAAACATCTAATTAGAAAAATACAAAGTGTAGAATTATTCCTACTTAAATACACATCGTACAGACCCGTGAAGATCCGGGTTAGAATATGTTTTCAGTAACCCATGCTTGCCGTAAAAGGCGACTATGCTTGAGGTAAGAGGCGACTATAACGGGATCGGATGGTAAGGTTCGCTGACTTGGTTGACGCATGTCATTGTATCCCAGTTGCGTGGATTGATGCTCATGATGGCAATCACTGGATTGTCTGGTCCAGACTTGGTTATTTACAGACCGCCGTCTGAGTGTGACGTTAAACAACAAACAAACAAATAAACACATCGTAAAAAATAGTCAGTTTATGATATTGTTTTACTTCATGTGTTTTCCTCAAAGGCCAGATTGTAAAGGGGCTTGTTAGCTCTTTGTAAAAGATGTGTATTAAATTTTCTTGTAAAAATTCCACACACAAAAATAACGCCAGAGATTTAATGTCTTGATCATCTGCCGAAACAGATTTCATGGAGTGTAAAAGTCAAAATACTAATGAAAAATACATAAATGGATCACTAAAAATGAGCGATGACACCAGGTGTTCGCGAAAAGGGTAAGCACCCGCCAGTCAGACTATAAGATAACCTTTAAAAAAATGCGATGGGACGTTGAAGTCAGATGTTAGTCTCGATTAGTTCATAGTCTTTCTTACCTTTGGGAACAGCTAAAGGACCAATGTCCACAGACTGAAGTTTGGGTACAGCTATTTTCTGCAGCGCATCTCTTTCCGCGTCCGTCAGTTGGAGTAAACTGACTGGTTTTAGCACTACTTTCCTTCCGCTCACGCTGCACCACGTACAAGAACCCTGCAACAACAGAAAGAGGAACATATTACACACGGTAGGTAGCGCTTCTGGCGAGAGTAACCAGTGTAAAGACGGTTACTCGTCAATTAGTCTCACGACAGAGCTACAGATGCAATGAAATATATAAGTTTACATCAATAATATGCTCGGAAACAAGATGTACGAAATTATAGCCATCCTGTTGTAAATATTATATGCAAAATATGTAATACATTGCTGTTATACCACCAGTGATGGTTTATGGAGAAATAAAAACTTTTGAAGTTCTGAACTTTCTGCTGTGTATGTTATCCGATGGGGTGGTGTGATCAACTGAATGCAGACTAATATTTTGTCTTTCAAATTTAAACAATAAATTGATATTGTTTTGTTCAAATGCGCATCTAGCTTGTTACACCTGCATATCTGTATGATCTAGACAAGTTTTGACCAGTCATGAAATCACGTGCACATATCCTGTCAAATAATGAAGCAGTCAATATCAACTGTATTTGTTTCCATATCTATCATTTCAAACAATAAATACCCCTTCATAATCAACCTTTGACATTTTATGTATACAGTCAACTACGGTTATAACGAACACGCTTATAACGGGTTGACCGTTATAACGAACTCATTTTTTAGTCCCGGCCATTTGATGTATATATGCTGTATACATGCTTATAACGAACTAAGGTTATAACAAACTAAAAGTAGTGGTCTCTTTGAGTTCGTTATAACCGTAGTTTACTGTAATAATATAATCAAATATGTAATATTGATTGGGTTTTTGTATCTACAGGAATGTAAATTATGTATGTCTGTATATATGTATATATGAATCATAATGTTTTGTCTTTTAAAATTGTACTGTCCCGTAATGGAACGTTTCTGCAATAAATATTATCTTATCTTATCTTATCCCAAGGTGCAGGACAAAAGGCCGTAAAGGCAGCATCATGATGATGATGATGATGATGATGATGATAGTGAACACTATAATGATGGTGAAAAATAGCATGGTGATGCTGAGTGAGTGAGGTTTTACGCCGCTTTTAGCAATATTCTAGCAATACCACGGCGGGGGACACCAGCAATGAGCTTCACACATTTTACCCATGTGGGGAATCGAACCCGGGTCTTCGACGTGACGAGCGAACGCTTTAACCACTAGGCTACCCCGCCGCCCCTGATGATGTTGAACAGTATGATGATGATGATGATGATGATGATGTGCTGATGGTAATGATGATGTCTGCCAAATGTCTCCTTGTTTATCAATAATGTTATCACAAGTCCTCTGATCATCTACCGTATTCTATATACAGTAACAGACCTATTGATTAACGACAATGTTATCAGCGACCATCAAGCTGCTTATACATACGTCCACTCAAAGTCTCATCTCACTCACTCACTCTGTCGTGTACTGTTACAAGTTACTTATCTTATCGTACATGTCAATATTTACACCTGGCACACGCGTTATAGCCACGTGATTGTTTGCAAACGCTACCAGCTAGGTGGCAATACACATCAAATCCCAATTTTGCCTTGTTTTTATGTACACTGCAACCCATAGTGAGTCATGGGTGTCAGATTACTGTAATCATAATTCTTGCTCACAATCGCTGATTGACATGCATTAAACAAGCTTCCTCGGATTTAACTTGGTTTTACGTGGCCATTACCCCGGCCATATTTATCGCTTATGTGAAGATCGACCAGCAAACTCAGTCCGAACGGTCATCTGTAGCTTAGGGCAACACCACAAGATGACCGTTGGGCCATGTGAACTTCTAACCTCACACGACAAGCGGAGTCGTAACTTTAGCGAGGGACATTCTTTGCTGGAGAAACGTGTCCCCTCTGTCCGCCCGGGTCAGTTTCAGGTGACACCGGTTTACGAGCAGGAGCCACAACGTAGCTTTCGCAGTAATCCCCCGAGCTATAACAGTGTATTTGATGTTGGGGGTGGATTTGTGAGTTGGGCCATGTCAGAGGCAATGATATGACCCAAGAGAATATGCTACCAGATGCAAACAACTCAAATCCAGAGTTCGCTTTAGCGCCACTTTAGACTGCATTTCAGATAAATCACGCTGTGTGAGCTTAGTAGGTATTAGTGAGTACTGTTTTACGCCGCTTCTAAGATAAATCACCCATGGCAGGATGTTAAGAATGTCTCTCGCGCGTGGTGAGTGAGTGAGTGAGTATGGTTTTACGCCGCTTTTAGCAATATTCCAGCAATATCACGGCGGGGGACACCAGAAATGGGCTTCACACATTGTGCCCATGTCGGGAATCGAACCCGGGTCTTCGGCGTGACGAGCGAACGCTATAACCACCAGGCTACCCGACCGCCCCCTCCCGCATGGTACCCATGCGAGGAATCGATTCCTAGCTTTTGGCTTGACGGCAAACGCTTTTTGTTTAACCATACGGTGTTTATCTTGGACGGGAGCCAAGGCGACAAAGGTCGTAGTCGTAGAGATTAAACATTTTGTGAGCACGGGTATGGTTCCAACAGACCTAGTATCATAATCAGAGCGAATCTGGGATTCGAACCCGGTAAACGAAGCTCATAAGATTAGAGTAGTGCCTTGTATAAATGTATCATGTTTGCTGCTAAACAACGCCCCGTGTCATATAAAGTTGTCTCATGTGACACAATTAACGTGTCATGTGTACGGTGTCTTAAATCTTGTTTTTTCCACGAAACTGTTTCAGTTACAACTCAACAGCGGTTATGGGTTTCTCTGGGAATATCGACACAACAGATCCCGGGGATGGTCCAGTGTGTCAGGTGATTATCTGATATCAGTTACATTAGATACGTTCGACTGAGAGCGGCGTTAAACAACAAACAAAACAATAAACATTAGATGCGATAAATGGATTTCGAAATGTGTGTATTGTTTGAAATGATATCAAATTTAACAATTAAAACTAGGGCACCTAAGATTGTTTTTGTTTAACGCTGCACTCAATATTTCAACTATATGACGGCGTTCTGTATAAAATCTGCGTTATTTCTTCAATGAATGCAAAGGAAATTAGTGTTTGTTGGCTAACGCCGCATTCAGCAATATTCCAGCTATATAACGGTCGATCTACACAATTGGCATGCGATGACATGCATCCACCAAGGCAACGAACCTGACCACCCGAGGTTAGTCGCCTCTTCGACAGCCATTGGTTGCTGAAGACCGAATCTAGCCCGGAATCTTCACGGGACCAGAGCAATTTAACATAAGGATGCAGATTGGATATTTAGTAATGCGACCCGAGGAGGATATTTCCTCATATAATAAGGGCCGTGCCTCTAATTAAATATCTTTCAGAATTTCAACATATATTGTTAAATATTTCCTTGCATCATGTCGTGTATATATTGCATTTATAAACACTTCGGTCTTAGATATACGCCCTTTGAAACATTTGCAAAACATTCAGAATTATTTTAATGATAAATTCATTGTAACAGATCAACAATGAGCGTGTCACGTTGTTGTGTAAGTGTTAATTACTCCTTGAACCTGCGATATACATTCCCCCGATATGGACACCAGCAACTCGGGATAATGAAGCAATTAGGATACATTACAGACAGTTATCGAATTACTGAACCTTTGTGGCAACATGAATGCGCCGTGTATTAATTAGCGACTGATTAATAGTCGTGTTCCCCGACACCTGTACCAACAATGCAGGAGTTGTACCTTCAGGCCTATATTCAAATGAATTATAATTACTTAAACATGCGGTTGGTTAAAGAATGACATCCATCTCGCCCGGGGAGGACACTAAGGCTTGCATTGACAGACAGCCTAAACTGCTGCAGGTAATGAATTACACCCTGCAAAGCTTTAGGCACCATAAAAAAACAGGTTATCTTAACAAAAACAAAGAAATATGTTTCACCTTTCTTGCATCGAAAAAGGTGACAAAATTCCGAGGTATTCCTCTGATCACCTGTTGGCATTTGTGCCTTTGAAATCTTTAATATATCATTAAAATATCAGTAGAGCCCAAAAAGTTAATTTTAATATTCGCAAGTGCAATGAGCGTTCAGGCGATCGTGCAACAAAATCCCCCATGTTTCAAATTCCCCAACTCTGTCAAGGAAACGTTAACTGTTCCAGTTTTATCAAAAACTGAAATCGTGTCTGGTTACGGAAAACGCATTGAAGTTAGTCAGCACTGGATAACCACCCACCGTAATGGCGTGGTAAGCTGTCATTACAGAGAGCAACAGGCAAGCCCCAATACCCTAATAGTTGTAGCAACGACCCAAGTTAGAATTCCAGCTAACAATATCCTCTACTTTAGTCTTTCATATGCCCTCGGCTAACCTCGGGATTGTTCCCATAAAAATACCATCTGAGTGCGTTCATCAAATTTCGTTCTAGTGTCCTGCAATAAAATTTATACCTAACCCGGTTATGCGTTATTGCCCTTAGAATTGGCCCAGTAACGCTGTTCTAATTCTCCTCCCTTCCCCAAACTCGCTCATGTAGGCATGTGAGTGAGGTAGGTTTACTGTCCATGTGACATATACGTCTACCACGTGTGTGAATCACGGGCACGGGTATAGTGCTGTCCAAGGATCCTATGTGCAGCAGATCCTGTAACGTATATGGGACAAAACTCTGCATAGCTTATTGCGCCATCCTTATCACCGGCATCCCTTTTCTCCGTTTTGATATGTCATTTGCTCCAATCCATCGCTAATTCTTGAAACATATATGGCCATTTGCTGATTTGTTAATTCAACAGAATAAATCAAGACGTGACATCTGATCAGGTCATTCGTGCAGGGTTCTTTTAACCTGTTTCGGTCCAGCAGTACGGAGTAGTGACCTTCTGGCTATACTTACTGACATGCAATTTGTAAATTTTCACGGTAAAATACACCCTATCAAACAAAAGGTCAACGCTCTGTGAACATGGACGAGATAAAATAAAAGGGGGGAGATAAGATGATGATATCAGTGCCTGCAAGGTTGGCCGAGTTT